ATCAACCTAGAGACTTATTTATTTCCAAACTAGTCGGTTGAGAGAATTGTGCCTTCATAGTCCAGTTGCCCTTCCTCAAGTTTTTAAGATAACCATGAAAGCGATGACTGTCAATCAATAGCAGTATTTCAGAGTGGTAATACCACCCTATTGAGTGTTTCTTTTTGTGTACTGGGAGGCAGCTATAAATAGTGAATCTTGTTGATTAATTTGTGGGTTTTGTTGAAAAACGGATCAATACGTTTATGAGTATACATGTTTGTTTGAATTAATTACACTCGGGGGATTTTGTAGACAGATCCACGGCTCTGCACAAGGTTACCCGCTAGATTTACTTTGGTTAAGACCTGTGGTAGGATTACATTAAGGCTGGGGTACTGAATTATTGCCAATATTTGACCGACAATAAACAAGGATTTTTTGTTGGTGTTTACGGCCACAGTCAGGGTGTGCCTCAGAGGAATTCAACAGATATCAATGTGGTGTCCTCTGAAATGACAAAAAAGTGTGAGGGATACAGGTACTGTCAATTTCTTGGTTTTCAGTCTAACAGCTATTTTTATGTGCACAGCTGGAAGCCCCATGTCTATGAATAGGATTAACCGGGTATAGAAAATGGATGGATGGAAGGATGGATGGATGGATAGACAGCTGGAAGCACATTGCAGCTTCCTTTTGAAGAGAGCTGGTCACTCTGAGGTTGTAACTTGGAATTCTAATGAACAAAGATTGAAAAGCTTACACAAGCCATCTAAGAGCCCCCTCTGTTAGTGACGTGCAGCCCAGTTTACCACCAAGTCTTTGATACCGTTTCTGTTCCCACTCTTATACGAAGATGTAATATGCTGTTCACATAATCCTTGCTTTCTTTATTTTGGTTTTCATGGTTTATCTGCAGCAAGACTGCTGCAGAGGAATTCCCATCTGTGAAGTCCGTCATCATTTACAGATATGAATCTGGACAAATGTTTCAAACTGTGAATTCATAGAAACACAAAACATGTATATTACCTCTCCTCTAAGTCTACCTCACAGATGCCCTTTAGGAAAAATAGGTCAAACTAGAACGTCCAGTCTTTTGAATTTCAGATGGGTAATGAGTCAGAGAGTCTATAAGTCTGGTGTTTCTTATCCTTGAGTAGTTGTGGAGGTTTGTGCTTTTTCCTTCCTCTGAGAGATTGTGTTATTGGTAGGTTTGAGATTCACTAGAGCTGTTTTGCAAAAGATGCATGTTCGCGCTGGAGTTGAAAAATAAAGATGAGTCATCAGTAGTGATGTGTGACAGTTCCATTGTAGTTGACTGGGCCCCATCCCGTCTCAGCTGGTTAACTTGTCTGAGGGTAATTGTCTGATCTGGCGTCTTTTCCACATCTTTGATTCTGCCTCTGAACTGCATGTCAGTGTGCAGCATTCCTACACTTTGTCTGTCTGCGTAAAGGAGTTATGTGAAAGGCGCGTGTCATGTAAACACGCTCTACATAAATCTTCTCGGTCCATTAATCTAGACGCTTGCTGCTTATGAATCATGATCTGGGTTTGAATGGGAGTCTGTTTACACAGAGCAGGCCTGTCTGAAAGACTGTCCAGTTTCTCTTGAGTTGGCAGGTTGTCCGGCACAGTCCTGGAAAATGCTTCTCGTGCTCACTGAACAGGCAATTGTTCATTGTTCTGGCTTTGCCTTGGTGCCACTGCACTGCTGACAGGACTGCAAGGTCAGATGCCCTAAGTGATGCACTACACCAGCAGCACAGAGCAGAGCGAGGAGCCGCCAGGTAACCAAAAGACACGGGGTGTGTAGGAAATGGCAGTTGTATGTTAAATGAGCTTTACTTTAAGGCTTTTCAGCCTTTTTATTATCTATTATTATTGTAGATGTATTTCTTATTACTTTTCTGGAGAGCACTAAACCTTATAATGTTCAACTCTTTTTCAACTATTTCTGTGCTGTCACTGCTACGGCTAAATGTTCCTCTGGAGAAAGGTTAAAAGACTAAAAAGTGTATTAATCAGTTGTACATATGTTACAGGTTTGTTTGCCTCAATAGTGACAAATGAGAATTCATTTTGCAATCCAACCTCTCTCCTTTTTACTCTAAGTCTTAATGCTCTATATTAGCTCCTGGCCCTTTAAGGCCCCCCTCCTCTTAAAAGTTTCAGCCTGCTCTGACTGGCCCGTGATTGATCAGAAATGACAGTGTATGGGGCAGGTGATCATTCATCGTCTCAGGTTTGTTCAACTCGTCTTTTTGTAGGCGTTATGGAAATCTGTTAGCAGCAGTTTGTTCTGTCAGAGGGAATAGCTCCCTGTGGTGTGCAGGCCTTTGTGTGCAGGTATATGCCGACAACTGTGGAAGTCTGATCGTCTGTGGCATTTTACTTTGTAGGCTGAACTGTCACGTATGCGTACATGTTAGCACTCGTCAGTTTTAAACACTTTCAGGCTTAATCAAGAGACTGAGAAAGCAACCCCTCCAGAGGTGAGGAGCCCCTCAAGCTGCTCAAGCACAACAAGAAGAATCAGATTGTGTTTTTGTTTGTTTTGGTCTGAGAAGCTGGTACTCTAATGTGACATCAAAACAACTCAAAGGAATAGACTGGTGTTCACTGTGAGGGATGGTAGACGTTCACAGCATATTTCAAGGATGTCGCAACAGCCTTTCATGTATGTCAGAAAAGATTTAGTGTAGTGGGTTTGCAAACTTACATCCAACTGAACAACACAAAGACCTTTCTATGATTATCCGAGGTGCATCGGAAGCAATTTATTGCCTAGAATTTGATTAAAGTATTTAGGATTAGGGAAGCTGGCCTTGAAATAAATCCTCAAAGCCCAGATGAGCATCCACATAAACTAAGGTTTAATCAGATACGGACCCCCTTTCTTTTAACATTTCTTTTGAATGCATAATTCTTAATATGGGATTCAAATTGTTTGAAATTAATATTGAAATTATAATTATTGCTCTTAAAGAGTGTGTTGTGCCAAAATATAACACCTTTGGTCCCTATACATAAGGAACTAAACAGGAAAATCTTATAAAGCAAAAATATAAAGAGACTGATTCAATGTGGATTTTCCTTTCTAGCCACATCTGTCCAAAAACAACTCTGGTATTGCAGATATCTACTGATTTTTGAAACTTTGAATTGGGTTTTTAGGTGTCATCATCAGTCATCACCCAGAAAAATGTAAGTCACAACCTTACACATTAAAAACTGATATTAAAGGGGATGGTCTGAATGTGAAGCCAAGGGCTGCTGCCTGAGAGATATCAGCCAGCTGGTGGCAACAGAAGTTTTGTCAAGGGATCAGATCAAACTTTTCATTATTGTCATTCTTGCCTCAATCAGCCAAGCCATTATAAATGCACCTGTCAAAATTTTACATCACAAGTTTTTAACACCAACTCGGTGGGTCGTAAGCTGTAATTGTTACCCCAGTCACACTGACAGCATATGGCCTCGGTTCTGACTCCCAATAGAACTTTTATTTCTTCATCAGTCACTAGCAACATAAGATCCTAAGGCTGTCCCGCCCTCGTCTAGACAGAAAAGGAAAGGTCAGTGGGCTTCTGCCACTGGGACCCAGACGCTGATCCCTCTGTGGACCTTCAGTAACGGAATTAGACATGTGGTAGATGGTAAATGGCAATGAGTTGGGGTGTGCCAATCACTTTGGAGGAGCTGTTCATAAAGCTGGGGTGGAAGGTCCCTGTGCATGAGCATTGAATCTGAGAGTAATAAAATCCCCCTCTTGACTGTAAAATACTCTGCCTTGAAACCTTTTCCCACCATTGTGCTTTGTATAGTTTTTATTACCAGTATTACAGCTGTTTGCTGTTTAATCTGTATTCAGTCTTTAATTTTTTATGTGGTACATTTAGTCCTTTATTTGTTTTCTACTCCACGTTAAAAGCTTTTCTTTTGTTTTGCATTTTTATTGCCTTTTTATAAATTCTAATCTCTACTCTCTACTGATGATGTGTAATCTTGGAAAGTTTAAGCAACTAATTCTGCTTATATTTAAAAAAAAAAACAGGAGTGTCAAGGCTGCATGAATTACACAACATCATACACTTGGATACATTCATCACTGAACACCTGCATTGAACAGGACTGCGTTCATCCCACGGTGCATTATAGCAGGTGGGGGGTAAAATTAATTTCTGCTTTTACTGATGGTGCTGGACTTTTGTACCCATCTGCAGAATGTTGATCATCTTTACCACTTTTTGAGAAACATGCATCATTAAAGGCTTACAGTCACTGTACTTTGGTTGATGCCATGAATGCAGATGTTGCTGATACGATACATTACCATCAGCTCTCGTACAGAATCAGCCAGCACGGGATGCAATACCAAGCAGGCAGGGAGCTGAATATTAAAATGCTCTGCTTTCATTTCAAACCAGTGCGTGTGTGTCTCAAGTGTATGACTTCAGACACACTAACAGAAAGAATAGGGTATCTGTGATATTTTTTCTCTGCTGTGATCAGTCAGTAATTACATGGCCCTACTCAAAAATTCTTCATGAGGTGGAGACAGGAAAGATAAAATTGAGGAGGCTCAGCCGCATTGTCTGCGCTATTAGGAGAGAAATGGGCCCGGCGATGATGCTCTGTGAGTCTGAAAAGAGAGCTATACGGGGAGAGACAGACCACAGTACAGTCAGAGTCATTGTGATGCAGGTCAGACTGTAGCAGGTGCACGACTGACGATGAATGTGTCAAATGCGGTGTGCTCCAGGTGGAGGTGGTAAAAACATGCACCTATGCTCGCGCTTTGATTAATAATATGTCAGAGCTATATTAAGGCTGGACAGAGCAGAGAGGCTGAGCGTGCTCATACAGCATGCGAGGATGTTGCACACCTCACCGGTTTCCAAACACTGACATTTGTTTTTGAGATGCATCACATCACAGAATAAGCTTGTTTTTCTTCTAGCCATGGGCACAATGGGATGGAGATTCTGTTTGATTTTTCTTTTTTTTTTTTCCAGAGGAGAAAATAAAGTCACAGTGCAGACTATAACGAACACGGCAGAGAAAACAGAAGTGCGCCCAGTGCATTTTGCAGTTAGAAAAAAAATCAATACGGTCATCTCTAATGTGAGATCCTGTGGATTTAAAGCAACACATTTGATAACACTTAGTCATAAACCTGCAGGCTATGTTTTATTCTTACAGACTTGTGTCCCTGTCACACCTGAGGAGACCACACATTCCAGCCACGATGATCAGGGCAGCTCTGTTGAACCACGTTTGCTTTGTGTGAAGCTGAAATCAGAGGACACGTCACGAAATGGCGTGTGGATCTGTATCTTTACCAAATAACTTTTGTGAGCGAAATCATAGAGATCTGACTGCTTTGCCCCAGTTTTAAAAGCAGGATCCTTTAGTTAGTTGTTTACATTTGTAAAGTGTGTTTTAAGCAGCAACACTACACCTTTAGACGGCACTACATAAAAGCGGAGCCTCTCCACAGCACAGACTCTTCTCTGATGAGGCTTTGAGAGCTATTTGGTGTTAGGAAACAATTTCAAATGCCAATAGAGTTGAAATAGTAGTCTGTTTACCAGATGGAAAGATAGAGGTCGGTCAGGTTCCCTTTTGTGAGCTATCCACACTTTCCTCCCACGCCTCAGCTTTACTCTACTGTGTAGCTCCTCTGGTCAAATATCTGATTTGTGAGTCATACCTAGCCTCGATAACCACGGAGAAACATGCTGGTTGTCTTAAAATACACACTGGCGGGGCAGCCATGCAAGAGCTTACAGGCCCAGCTCGGAGCACTGGAGTTGCCCAGGGGACGGGCATGGAGTGAGCAGGAGAGACAGAGGGTGAGGGAATCGACTAGGAAAAAGAGGTGGGTGGAAAGAAGGAGACGGTGGAAGGTCGTGTTAGATAAAGGATTATAAAAGCCTAACTTTGTGTCATGTAACGCTAAGACTAGTCCAGCAGCGTGGGCCACTTTAAAGGGCTGGTTTTATATTTCTTTCAAAAAAAGTGTGGCAACTATAAACATACAGAGCAGTTATACATTGTGCATAATAGGTCATTGGGATGGAGGTGGAGTTTATAAATATATGTAAAACTAAAATATAAGAAATGCTGCAACAGTTAAATCTGCATTGAAGTTAAACAAAATTCAACCTGTATTCCAATATGTGATTAAAAAGGATCTCATCTTGATGAAGATGCTGACACACATAAATATATTTGTACTGTGATTTGAGATGGAAAAAAAACGTGTCAAACGTCGGAATGCTGATCGATCTTTATCGGAAATTGAGATGTGCTTCCTTTTACCAATTTCTTGGCACAAAACAGCTTTCAAACTGCATCAATAAAAACTGTATATAAAAATATAAATGACAGGGACAAAAACTATAAATCTGCAAAGTAATAACACCCAAATCCCCATTCTCTCAACTGAGGATAATTGCAGATTTCAGCTGTTTATCTGCTCAGACAACATCAGCAAGTTCACATAGTGAGGTAGAACTGTGAAAGCAGTGACGAGTTAAAGAGCAAATAGTTTAAGAGAAACCAAAAGAAAAGCTCCAAAAAAGTGTGAGAAGAGTGTGAACATGGAGAAGAAACAACAGGTTGCAGACTGGGCTAGGAGCACTATTTTGTAAGGATCGATTTCCTGTTACCTTTGTCGGTTCATATTGTTGCCTGGTTAGATTGTTTTTCTCACTAAAATCAACTCAAATCAAGTGGAATGGAAAAGATAGACAAAGAAAAAAAAAACCTAACCGTAACATATGAACAGATTAAGATGGCTTTAGATGCTGATCATGAAGTTTAGGTATATGAACACTGTCCTGAGGGGTTGTCCATGCCAAAAGACAGCCTTTGAGCAAGCAACAACACATGTTTCATGTGTTCTTGTGTCCTTTTTGTATATTCTCTAGCATTTTTGTCCATTAAATATCTGCATAAGCAACCGCTAATTCAGAGAGGAAGCAAGGACAGGTTGGTTATTCAAAAGGATTTTTACAATGTTTTTCTTTGGCCTTCACCACAATCCATCAGCACCTCCTTTACTTATTCACCTCTTTTAAATTGTGGGCTAGATGCATGAAGAATTCAGAGACGACCTGTCTCTGTTGTTTTGGCCTTTGCTATTTGACAAACCCGTAAATAAACTGGTGAACATTACTGGTTTGTTATTAAAGCAACGATGCAACAATCCATCTAACATTGTGCATTTTATTCGTCAAATATTTTGCAAGTGCATTTTCGAGACAAACAAGAAAGTCTTCAGTTCTTTCTGCATTCTTTTTTCTGCATTCTGAGATGCAACAAAGAAAACTTCAAAAGCTTCCTGTGTCAAATACACAACAAAAAGAAAAGTGATTCTAACCTGTCAATGGGCTTATTTTAGCTGTGTGAGTCCATTTTCTGTAATTCAGGCTTAAAATGCAACGCATAAAAGGTTTTGGTTATCTTATTTAAACCAATTTTTGAAAAATGCTTTAAGGAAATTGTGAATACAAATATGGATGATATGATGCACTTTGGTGAGTTTGAAATGCAGCTAAATACACCACATGAGAAAAAGGGATGACATCTTTTAAAGTTCAGTGATCTTTTTAAAAAGAAATAAATACAAGAACAAATGCTGCCACATCTCTCAAGAAAACGTCTCTCTGTTAGAGTCAAATGGTGAGGAAGACCTTTGGCTCTGAGGAAAAGAGTGAAAAAAATCATTTTAATTTTCATTATCTAAGAGAACTGAAAGTTTTGTTTTCAAAAACCTTACCTGATCCAGATCAAGTTGCCATGGTGACATGCTCCAGTAGGAAATTAACCCTTTTAAAGGTTCTGAAAATCCTGAATCTAACTTGGCCTCACATCTAAGCATGTTTGCATATTCTGGTCTATTGTTTTATGTGAGCTGTAGTAAAGTAAATGTTCCGTAAACTGCTTTAGATGTCTTAGTTTTACATGTTCGACAAACTTGTGGTGTTTCTTCCCTGCAAACCTTTCAGAAATATATAAATATCTACAAAGATATATGTGGCATCCAAAAGCCATCGTCATTTTTTCTCTCAAACTACCTCACTGAGTTGTAGAACAGGAAAATGTGTTTGCCTTGTCTTTCGGGATTGTATTCAATGATTGATAAAGCTAATAAAGCTTTTGTTTCACAGACAAGCAGATACTACTGTGGAAATGATGAAAAGGTAACGTTGTCTCAACACCTTTCTGGATTGGTGCTGACACCTTTACACATCCATTTGTTGTATTTGAGAATATTTTTTTGCATCAGGCGTTGAGATTACAAGCGGGGAGAAAAATGGGGAGAAAAAAGAGAATGATTAATGATTGCAAGAGGGGGAGAGCTGGCTGGCATTCCAGCAAATGACTGAGGGCAGATTGTCTCGGCTTGGGGTGAAACTGGCAGCCCAAGGACCTCTGTGGGCAGGAAGTGTCTGCTGATCATCTGTGTGGGCGTGTCCGCACGTAGACAGATGACAAGGAGGGAGAGACACGCGGGGGGATGAGGCTCTCTCGCACACAGAGGGGCGGAGAACAAGGGAGCCAAGCTGAAAGTCACAGGTTGTATGAAGGAGCGCTGACGAAACACAGCCCTCACAAAGGGAGAATCTGAGTGAGAATGAGAGACGCAGATGGGCAGGAAGAGAGAGGGAGAGAGTGACAGGGAGAGGGAGGGAAAGCTGTCACTTTCCCCCCGCCCTCCCTCCCTGCCTTCTCGACTAAGTTGGCAGAGCCACAGTCTGGTAAAGAGAGATTACCAAAGCCCTGCCTGAGGTTACATGTGTGGACACAATAATTACCTCTGTGCAACTAACATATTTCTCTGCCAAACCTTGATTTAGCAGTAAAGATGTAAAACTTTACAGCTGCTCTGTATCTTTATAAACCTGTTTATGGTGCGGTGTTATTTTTTTATGGAATAATGACTGCTGGTATTTTACAAGGTGAGGCACTGGAGCCACAAATAAATCTTCTGCCAAGGGGGAGCAAATATTTTTTTTCTTTTATAGGTGGGGCATATGGAATGGCTTTCAAAATGGATCCTTGGTCCATTTGCGGGGTGACTCAGTTTGTGGGTGTATGCTATTGTGTCGGTGTCATGTGTACAATCTGTGCATTGGCATTCAGCCTCAGACAGCATGGGGTTATAGTTGAATCTGTCAGAACCCGCTGTCATTTCCGCTATCCCCCTGGAGAGTTGCTGCAAACGGCCGAGTGGAGCTGACTGATGTCAAGATATACTTAGAAGCTAATCATGCAGCAAATAGAGGCATAGGGATTCCTGCAAGAAGAACTGCCCGGCCACCCGCACAACAGTCAAAGCTTTTCATGGGAAACATTTCAGGCCCTGTCACTCACAGCTCATTTGAGCGATGTTTCTCAGGATTCTTGTTGGATTAATAGACAAAAAACCTCGACATGGGTCTTTTTTGACAGTCTTTTTTGGCAAGTCTTTTCACACTGATACGGTTGATTCACTGTTTTGTTTCTAGAAATGCCACGACAGTCATTGATGGATGGATATATTTCTCTTTGCATGGAAACAATGTTTCTTTTCATATCTCCGATCTTCCCTGTGCTCAGATGGTCAGAGTTGATGGCTTCCCAAGAGTCTTGCAATGCCATGTGTTGAATATTTTTCTTCTACTGGCATTAATTTTTTACATGTTGCAAAGAGAGCAGAGCTTGCTGCATATGCAAAATCGCTCTAAGCTCTCCAGAATCATCACCTTCCCATTAGCAGAGTGGGGCAGTTAAAGCACAAACATTACCGTCTCTCACCTTTATTTAGTGCTGCCTATGGCACTTGTGGGCTGCTGAATATAAGAATCCGACCAAAAGGCCATGGTACTCTAATTAACTTCACCTGGCATTCCTACAATCTGTGAACATGTCTAACCTTTGCACAACCTCACTTACTCGCCTCTCCTTTTAAACACCCAGGTTGAAATTCTCAATTAATGTCAGTAAGCAGGTTGCCATCCTCCTCCCTGCCATGCCTTATCTGTCCTTTCTTTCTTTTTTAACATTCTTCAGACTTCACCAACAGATTTTTATTCCGGGTGGCCAAAGCACTTTGCGCTGGTGGATCAATAAAGCAGTGTCCCCTATAACAGACCCCTGTGTTTTCCCTCCATCGATCCTGTCAGCACAGATACATTGAAGAGCAGGCAGGGCGATTACCCTCAGCAATCCTAACTTTGATCTACACTGTAGATGGCAGGTGCCAGACATCAGCTTTGGGTAATTGTAACGCTGAAAGGGGCCAGCGTTAATCGTCCAGTCTTGCCCTGACTTCATGATCAGTTAATGCATATGCTTGCTGACCATCAGCGTTGACTGTGTTCAGGCATCCCAAATCAATGCCAGTTGTTTTAATTTGTATAGATCATGTTGTTTTCCGTGGTGATGTGTTCTGCAAGTTGGATTGGGTGCAATAAAGACAAAAAGCAATTTGTTTTAAGCTTATTGTTTGTAGAAAATGATTATAAAATCACAATGAAATATATTTTCTTCTTGCCTTATTATTTGTCCATTATCAGCCTCACAAAGCTATTTGTAACTGCTGTTGTAACAGGAGCTGACTTAGTTAATGGATTTGGGAATCATTTATGTGTCTGTGTGAGCAAAGTGGAAAATGAATCAGCAAAACTTTGCTTCTTATGATCTACAGTGAGAAACAATCAGATTCTTAGTACTTCAATGTAATTCACTTATTGAACTGGATTAATTACTCTTTGTTTGAACCAAGAATTACAGTTAAGTAAAAACACAATCCGTTCTGTTTGCCGGCACCTTATTGTCTCATAAATTCAGTGGATTTAATTGTAAACATTTTCTCGATTAGCATCAAACACCTTTATCATAAGTGGAAGCGATCATTTACAAACAGATGGGGGTTCAAATCTTAGTATTCATAATGCAGGGAGAAATGGAGTCCTGCAGAGTAAGGAGGAGAAATTCTATCAACAGAGCACCAGTAAAAAGACATTCCTTTCATAAATATTTCCCTGCAGCATAAAGCTCTGGAGAGACAAATGTTCAAGCAGCATTGTGTCCCAGCTGTGGCACAGATAGGATGTGATTCACAGAAACTATAACACTTTTTGACTTCTTAGTATAACCAACACTGTTCTGATTTATAGACTCAGAATATGTTCCAAACTGGGGCTTTGGTTTTTGGATGAGAATTTATAACTAAGGGAGTATTTAGAACGAAGTAGTCAGTTGCTTTTCCATTTTGTCTTTCTTTTTTCTTTTTTTTTTCATTTGTGGTGATTTGAAATATATTGACAGTCTCAAGCCTAACCTCCTCTTCTTCTCCTCAATTTGTCAGCTTTGTTCAATTGACCCCATTTCAGTTGTGGGTCAAAGCTATAACTTACATTCTGTGAGTTGACGCGATCCCATCAGCACAACACTGTGTCCTCATTCCAGTGTTTCCCCAGCGTACGGCTGCTTTTGATCACTCCAACAGAAATGGATGGCATTCATAGGGTGCTTATATTAGACTCTAAGATGGGGTACTCAGTAGGGTTGAAGAGAAAATGATGTGAATCTCTGCTTGCCCATCCTTCCACCTAAAGGGAGGTGACCGTTTTGAACTCGGATGTGCCACTGGTGTGATTGCTGTTTCACAGCCTTAAACCCACTTAATGATGAGATTTTTCAGGACTCCATCAGGCTGCACAGTAACAACCGAATCACTAGATTCTCACTTCAAACTGTGGCCTAGTCAAAAGATCTAAGCTAATGATTTCAAAACATTCTTGACAACTTCTACCAGCTACAGAAGAATGTGCTCTGGTATGAGATATACCATCTATTTCTCCTTAGAGTTTGTCTCTCCTAATCTCTTTCATTTTTTAAAACCAAAAATGAGTTAATCTTTGTATTGTTTAATGTCCTCTTTTGGGTAATATTTGTTCAGTCAAATTTTCATCTTTATTGTGGCCTTAGATATCACATCAGAATTTGTGTAGAAGTGTAGAAGCATATGGGCATGATTAGAAGATTTTACAAAAGTAGTGTTGGACTTGATAATTAGACTTCATTACAAAAGCTCATAGGTTATCCTGCATACGGCAGCATCCATTTCATGGCCGTTCATCCAATAAAGAGTTAGTGAGGTGAGAACACCTGCAGATTATTAACAGATTTCTGAACATTAGTAAAAGTGACTACCGCGCATTTTTGCAAATCTCAACTGATAGAAGTAATTTTGTATTCCTATGATAGCCATTAATTTCTCTACACTACTGGAAACTGCACTGTATGGTATTAAGAGTGCTTATACCGCTTATTTTTAAATGGGGGCATAGTTTGTAGGTCTTTTTGAACGGATGGAATATCCACACGGAACGGTGCGTCGATAAAAGTTCATCCTGTAGAACTGAAATGACTGTATGAAATACTTCTTAGAGTCATTAAATTGCTATGTTTGTTTGACACAAAGTACCACATTGTTTTAATCAACTCTTAACTGACCCTATTCTGTGACTTGGAACTTAAAGTGATTCTTTCATTGATTTATTGTCACACAGATAATAAGTTATGCTACATGCTTAAGGACAAGGCAGACTTTGAAATGTAATTGAAAAATCCAAGAACTGTTTCTATCTAGCTGAGCATAAAAAGTATATATCACATGGCACACATAGCATACCTTTTTTGCTTTAATATCAATAACTGGATAAAAAAGCAGAGCAGAGTCTGAGTTTCAAGTAAGACAACATTTTGCATATAATTAGTTTATTCCTTGATGATCAACTGATATAATTATATGATAATAATTGTTCTACAAAGTAATTTTATTAACACCAGTAGTCATCTACTAACTCACAAAACAAACAACAAAGCTGGCAAATAGCATCTGTGAATACTAAATGTTTTCTTTCACGAAGCCTGCAGAACTTCAGTGACTACTCACACTGCATTTTGAATTAGCTTAATTGAATATATTTTTCTAATATTCCCTTCTGAACGGCTGCACAAAGATCTTTACATGTGCTCAGTAGATTTTGCTTTCAGTACCAAGAGAAAAACATTTCCTCTCAGTTAACCACATATTGTTACAACAATTCCGGAAACTTCTCACAGCCTGATAGTCCCAGTTTCTCTCCCACCTCCACAACCCTGCCAGCCCTCTAATGTGCTTGTATTCTGCATTAAAAAGCTCACACACAAACATATTTTGAAATCGCAATGTTTGGACACAGTGTGGCCAGTTGTTTCCCTTGTTTCCAGTGTCCCTTATGAACTATGTTCTTAAAATTGTCTTAATATTTAGCGTTTAGACTTGAATGCTGTCAGTGTTTTCATCAGGCTCTTGGCAAGAAAGTGTGCTGCTCTGCACTATTCCTTTAGCCTGTAACTAAAGCTGACCCTAGCAAACACTGTATCTATAATATGTGACACTTTGTATTAGGGGAATGGTGGCAAAACACACTTTTTCGCCCCACCGTGGGGATTTCTCAGTGCATCGAGCTGAGGTTATATAGTGCACAAATATCAAACCGCTAAACCAAGAACACTTGAGAACAAACTGGCAGACAGTAAATGCAGAGCACTGCAGAACAAATGGGAAGCTATTTTAAACACAACCATTCAAAAATGCTATTCCTCAGAGCACTCACCATGGCAACTGCTATGATGCTGCTGTAGAATAACAACAAGACAGGTAAACTTTCTCTTCTCTTCATCCTTCTTCATCCCTCTCCTAGATCCCGCAGATAAGTTATGCGTCAACAGCCCCGGAGCTGAGTGATGACAGGCGTTATGACTTTTTCTCGAGAGTGGTTCCCCCAGACTCATTCCAGGCCCAGGCCATGGTGGACATTATCCGAGCACTGGGCTGGACCTATGTCTCCACCATCGCCTCAGAAGGCAGCTATGGAGAGAAGGGAGTGGAGGCCTTCACGCAACTCTCCAAGGAAGCAGGTAAGAGAAGGCGGCATGCAATGTGCTTGCGAAAAAAACATAATTCAAACTTTAAATACTATCTTTATGTTTTAAAAAAACTTGCACTTACTCGAGGGATTAGTTTGCATTTTCAATCATCAAATCTGTTTTGGCTGGATGAATTATTGATCTGTTTGGCAGCTTGGCTGTAACTCCCCAGTGAGCTGTGGAGTGTTACTGGAAATATAGACAGGCAGGAAGAATGTCACACACAATAGTCGGCAGTTTTATTCTTAAGTAACCATTTAGCACTTTTTTTTTTCAAAATAAACACCCAGAGGAAGAATTGTTTAAAAATGTATGTTTCATGCTTTCTTTTGTTAAATATTTAATCATGTGATGTGTCCATGTACAAAATACAGGAGAAAGAACAATCTGACAGCTGCTCGTTCAGGAGTTTCGTTTTTTTTCTTTTCTTTTGGCCTCTGCCTACATGTTTCATCCAGTCTCATCTATTGTGTTGTTACTGTTAGATACAATACGTGGCTCCGTGGATCTTAATGATGGTCTGGCGGCTCGAGCCAACCCGTAAGCAAGTGTGAAAAGAAATCTGACTGCTTAGATGAAAATGTCTAGACAGTTCTGACAAAACGCATTTGATTGAATGAAACTGGAGCATCTACAAAGCTAGATTTTAAAATCTGTCTTGCTTGTTTGATTCTGTTATGGAACAATGATGGTGATTTTTTTTCTTTTTTTGGAAGGAGTAGTCATCCTTACTCAGAATGGTTGCATTGTCGTGTTGAAAGAGGTTTGGATTAGGATAAGAGATATATATGCAGACATTCATCTGTGCCTCATTTTGCCTCAAACTGGCCTGAAAATTGTGAACTCTGTTATTCAATTTATTTTCCTTCTGATTTATGCTTCTGTTGGCACAATGTCTTATATGTTACACAGCAGTTGCCATTAATACCGGAAGAAATGCATTTGAAATGCAGAACAGTTGGTCAGCTATCTTTATCAAATCATGAGGTTCACTGTGCTTTAGCCCGGAGTGTGGAGAGACTTTCCGCGGTTGCTGCTTTTGTTTGTTTGCATGATGAGGAGAGCCTGCTTCCCTACAAAAGTCGTACGATTAAACAAAGAATTTCCTTATGCGCCAAATTGTGCAGCAGCTGCCTTTTGACTTCATTTTCCCCCTTCAGGAGGAATGTTATTTGAGTTGAAAAAAATCACCCTTCATTCATAATAGCACAGCCACGTCATGGGAGCAAGTCTTTTCCTGCTATTTCACCTCCACCTCAGTGGAACCCCATCTATTTCCTGAAAATAATGGACTTGGGTGACGAAATTTTACGAACGAGGAAAAAGCTAATGATATCCCATAGGCACCGATCAGAAGTCCAGCCTGCATGAATATTTCATCTGTGTGCAATCGTGTCCAGCCTGATCATTCAGTAAAACATTAAGAAGCTGTTTGTGGCTGTGTAATTTGCATCGACAGACAGAGCAAGAGTGAAAGTGAGAAAAGATAAACTAGTCTGCGTGGGTACAATAAGGAAAACTCCTGATTGAAGGCTTGTTTTGGAAGTCTCCATTCATCTTGTGTCCTGAAATAAACATAGTTTCTTCCTGCTGGCTTACTCAGATGCATTTATACCACTGGTTCTTTCTTTTACAAAGAGCAGTAAACAATGTGATATAATTATGATTCCCAAACAGCTACATGAATAATAGGCCATTGTTGTGCACTCATTCCAATGCAATTGAGCTCTAGTCACCACAGTGCTTCGTATTCATACACAAATGAGAAAGATTTCCTCCAAAGGAATGTTTCCAGCACCTAAGGACTTATCTTTAATAAGCACATTAATTATATAATGGTATAACTGCACAGTCATAAGATTTATTTAGAAGCAGCGGTTCAGCTTCGACACCAGCATTGGAAAGGAATGAAGGGAGAAGGAAAAAAGTGAATAAGAAAAGCGAGAACCTTTGGTCCGTGAGTTCGGAGTTGGTGTACTGACAGCTGCACAACATCAGCATTGTTGGGAGGACGTTGTTTCAGCATCCGTACAAGCTGATCCGTAAGTCCCTGAGACATTTCTGTGTGCCTGCCCTGTTGCGTTGAAATGTCAGATGCATTAGTAGGATTCTCGCTTCACCACTTCAAGGAGAAGCATCTCACAGACTAATGCAATATGGGTGCCCATTACTCCAAGCTGATACAAGAGTGATGGCCAGCCCGTATTGATCTTTTCCATTTTTTTTTTTCCTTTTTCTGTTCCCCTGTCTCTGCTCTGTTGCATTGTCCACCTTCCATCTGGCTCGAGGTGAAGCTGAAAAAGATACATTAAGTTTGTTCTGTTCTTTGTTTATCTGGACCCGGGCCAGAGCAATGAAGTTCAGTTTTAAGATCAGATAAAAAGCACTTGGAATTGAGAAGGGTCCACGAAATATCCCCGTGGCATTGATTGCAGCCAGTTCCGTCTCAATGCATTCTCAAACTTGACTCATAAAAGGACAGTAGAGTATGCTGGACTCATCTGTAGCAGCTGAGGAAGAAATTAGACACAGACTGGCTTATCTGCAAGCTCTGTAAAATAGTTTGTGAATTTTCTGCGTGACCCTCAACATTGCCTACTCCCAGACTAGCAGTGGAAAGGCAGGCCGGATAAGAAAGGGCACACAGATGTAGAGCATGAATATAAGCTGTATGTCAGCCAATTCTGATGTGCTCCCAAGTGTTCAGACTGGGAGACTAGAGGGAGAAAGTTCGTCTTTTGACTGTCAAGGTGATAAATATAATTGCAGCATTATGGACCCCTGGAGGTTCTTGGTTGGAGGTTGTAGGCGTACCAGCGGGTGAGCGGGGAGGTCGAAACCATCAACAGCTTCTAATTTAAAGGGATTTCCATTTTACCACACCAAATGGCAGTACACTAGTCTTCATCCTGCAGTGCATTTCTAGATCCGAGGGCACTGAGGATGAATAATTGAAGCGGTTAATGCAGAAGATGACCTGTGGCACTCGGACAGATAAGCATGGAACTTCCAAGAGCCTGATGAAATTAGCTATCATGATCATTAAACTGTCTATGACATATTAATTTAATATGGAACATAGGTCATGGGCTCTTAGTGCATGTAGTTTTGATATTGTGCTTGAGGACCACAGGTAAATGAATAATGAGCAGCTCTCACTGTCACAAACTCGCACATTTTGCCTCTGGTGCAGGAGAAACATTTAAAATGTCTGTATATATATTTTAAAACACCTACTTTCCATCTTCGCTCTCTACACTGACTTTAAATGACAGCTAGAGAGTTATGTGTTATGAAACAGTTCCATGCAAAAGTTTGGGCACCATAATCAAAATATGTCACCCATAACGGTTAGGGTAAAAGATGGCCTCTTTTTCAAAGAGGAGTAAAGCTTAAGTTCAGACATGCCTTTAATATTTTAAGCAAGATTGCTTTTTATATTTTACAGTTTCGAGAGAACAAGAAAAAAGGTCCCCAAGGAAAGGTTTGGACACTGCTTCGGTAGTGCTTACAATAGCCTAAACTTCAGTCATTTATTTATTATCTATACTGCTTGTTCCACATTGTTTTGCAGGGGCGCTGTAGCCTATACCGGCTGAGATTGGGCACCCTGGATAGGTCGCCAGTATATCACAGAGCTACACAGAGACAATCAACCACACACACACACACTGCCAAGGCACTGTCTGAATTGTTTAATTTCTCTCATGCATTCCAAAAGAGAGCTTCTCTTAAAGTGTTCCTGGTCCTCCTGGTCTCTGTTGCATTGCCACTGTTGTTTTTAAGGGCTATGATTCTTTAACAAATTGAATAAAAAGCACCCTGAAATTAGTCCTGTTTCTATTTTAATTCTTTTTTGCCAATTGTCACCACAGCCAAAAGATACTTAAGGTCTGTGAGTTTAAGAAATGTGACCTGATTTCCTGGGTGTCAAATCTTTGAAAAATGCTCACTTCCTTTTCCATCCATCTGCTGTGCGGTGCTGCTTCACCATGCACGTAGTCACAGAAAGATGGAGCCTCTCCCTCCTGACAACGGGCAGGTGACAAGATACAACATAGACCACAGAAAGCTCATACAAGCAAAGGGAGATAAACTCCACATGAAGGCTCCGGTGGAGGTTCAAACAAGGATCCTTGTTGTTGTGATGTGACAGTGCTTACCGCTGCATCACTGTGACCCGCTTTGGCTTTTTTCAGCACTACATGTACAAAACATTTTGGGCTGAATTTTATCAGGCTCAGGGTTAGAGCTTTTATAATTCACATTCTTCCCCTACTCCCAATGGCAAAATAGAAAAGATAGAAAAGCAAGACTTGACAGCAGGGCTGCCTGGATTGTATATTTCGGTTTTCTGGATGGAAAAACCCACTTTCTTCTCCTGGAGGTCTGCCATTCCCCTGCTTCACATTACACATCTTCAACCATGGCAGGCATGTGACTCTCCCTTAAATCCAGTGTTTGAGTTCTTTCAAGACCTCCTTCCTGGTAGTGACAGGTGAAGGCAGCCCGACCCGAATCATATCCCTTTGGAACCACTAAAATAACACTTGCATTTTCATCTTGCTTGACTCCCTGACAAACAATCTGACCATACAACTTGACTGACAGAAGAAACTGTCCGCAGGTATTCAATAATTTAGCCTCTGCTGCTAGGCCAACAGCCGTTTCAACTATACAGCACATTTCTCTGTACAGATGGGATCTGCTCCAAATGCTTCTTATCTTCATCAGTGGCTCTTGTGGTCTCTATTATTGACTAAAGTGACCTATAATCCATCTCCGCTCAAGACTATTAAACCATTGTAACTCCACAAAACTCTGCAGGGCTTCAGCCATAAAGTCATTTTATGAGACTTGAAGTTTCACTGTAAATTGTTTTTATTTTCCTTTTTCCCCTTTTTGTAGTTGAAAATGTGTAATTCCTAGATACATTCAGGGACGTATAACGTGTGGCTAGTACAGAGAAAAGTAATCAGGATCAGCTGTTACACACCGTAGCTCCTAAAACAGACCCTGGATGTGCAGTGTCATGCTGTGGGTGCTCCGGCTTCAATTAACTGAAATCTCTGAGCTGGAACACAGCTTCAGTCTCCCTCCTTGGAGACCTACGGGGCTGCCTCTTGCACAAATGATACCAAGCACATTTACCATAACAAGTCACCACAAACCCTTAAGCAACAGCCAGGCTTTTGGCAAGATTTCCATTTTTATGTTTAGTCCACTAAAGCTGGATAACAGCGGCCATCAGAGAAGTCTCTTGGCACCCGCAGTGTCTTACATCGAGAAAATTCCTCATTTTGCTTGCTGATACTAGAAAAATGCATATCTAAGAAGAGGTTCAGCAGCTATCATTTTTCTGTTCTCTGCCTGAAGAAAAGCCCATGAAAACTGTGACTGGTAACGTGTGATCTGCCAACTAAAAGCTGTTTGTATCAAAGTAATGAGCCTGAGGAGAGTAGCAATTAGGAGATCCCTTCCATCTCTCTATCTATTCAGGGAAACTTAAACTGAGAGCTTATAGGGTAGACTATTAAAATGCTTGAGTAGGAGAAATCTAATTGGTTTGGGTAAAGCTTTGCTTTTGACTCGAGACATAAGCTACTGCTTCAGTGTAGTCCCACAACGGTTTGAAAGTTCTCTTGTACAAGTATTATATCATTATATGGTAATCTAAAGTTTTTAAGGAGTCAGTTTGTCATTTGCACCTATAATTACAACAAAGGAGACCAACAGAAGTTTTTTTGTCATTTTAACATCAGTTTTTATGAAAAGGACATTCTAGGACCTCCGTCTAATAATGAGCCATTGAATATCATAATGGAAGAAAATGATATCTATTGCAGTAATAAGCTTAAATGTTCTGCTAAATACAGTGTGTAGCTGCTATTTGGTGAATCACCAGGGCTGTTAGTGCTCTTCATTCCGTACAAATTCATCAGTGATGGCCTGTCTGAGAGTGATTTATTGTCAGCATTAATATCCTCTTTGTTTGTTATTGCCAGCTGTGCTGTTTGATTGGTTCAAGTTCCAATAAAAGATGTTTGATAATGACTTAAAATGAAAATTCAATGGAGAGTTGTTTTACTTTTTGAAATCCATAACATTAAATCTGTGGCTTTATGTCCCATTTGCTGTGGACTATTGGATTTGTTATGGCAGAGATGTTTGCAACTCTCTGTCTGTGAAATGATGCTGTTGCTCAGCTGGAAGGCAGACTCTAAGTGTTATATTGCATGTCGATGTGGTTTGTAGATCATTGCCAAAATGTAAATGCATACACTGTAAGATCATTTAGACTCCATAGAAGCATGACAGCTTCATCTAAGTATGACTATTGTGTTGAAATGTGTTTCTTTTTTCACATAGACAAGAATTCCAAAGAAATCCAGCTTTTGTGTCCTTGGGCTTTGTGTGTGTGTGTGCGTGTGTGAGTGAGTGTAGATCTGTGTGAGAGAGTGAGAGAACGGTTGAGATCCTGCCACAGGCCTTATCATCTCTTTCTTCTGTCCAATTAAAAAGGTGGTATCTGCATTGCTCAGTCTTTGAAAATTCCACACAACCCGAAGCTGGAGGATTATGACAAAATCATCCAACAACTGCTGGAAACCTACCACTCACGGGCAGTCATCATCTTTGCCAGCGAAGAAGACATTCGGTGAGGGGTGCTGCACACGTTGACTTCATACATGTTGTTCAGCCATGCTTGATCATTTGAAATTGTCCGGTCTTTAATATCCGAGTAGGAGCTCATAAGACAAGCTGCAGGCATAGATTCACTGTGTACACAGGCTGTGTATGCTTTGCAAGCACACCTATGACAACACAAACACCAAAATGGCTTAGAGGAGAAGTGGGAATACAGATCTCAACAAAGCAACAGCGGTATTGTTTTATTTACAATACCTCGGGGAGATTTTCATGTGAAGAAGCACAAAGGCAAGCATTTAGAACACGTAAGATTGAGGACTCTGGAAAGCAAAATGCAAAAGATTACTGCAGAAGCACAGAAGTACATTGGTTTTCTTTCAACAGAAAGATCTTTGTTATATATAAAAACACATGCCAGATAATAAGGATGGTCCTATCCATCTTTTTGTCTCTAGTTTGATGAAAAATACCTCATAGGAGGGCAGTTAACAACCCCTTAAGGCTGGTGTCATACCTGTGTAATGGATTGCACGTCTCGTGCTTTCTACTAATAAACATATCAATGCCCTTGCAGGGGAGTTCTCAATGCTACCAAGAGGGCCAATCAGGTAGGCCATTTCCTGTGGATCGGATCTGACAGCTGGGGGTCCAAAAGCAGCCCCATCCACCAGCTGGAGGATGTAGCAGTGAGTGCAGTCACCATACTGCCCAAACGCTCCTCCATCAAAGGTATTCACTCACTGTGCAGACTGCAAGCTTCACCACCTCTTCCATGTCATCACTAGCTTCCATCATTCACCCTGTTGGTTTGATGAAGTCTGACTGAAGCATCAAAAACCTCCATTGGCCTGCTATTATCAAAATTCTCAATGAGCTTCCGAGTAATTGGACACAAAGTTTTTACTCTGGCAGCAAGGAGAAAAGTATATATATTTTTTTAAGGGCTAACCGAAACCTCAGCTATTTATACCTTCTATTTGGCAAATACAGGTGAAAAATAGTGATGCCTGCCTAGAGAAAGAAATAATTTAGTTTTTTTGTCTAGACAGGCAGGTTATCTTGTCACATGGTGGGAAAATACTGATGTCTGCCAAAGAATTTTCTTTTCTCTCAGTATAACCTCATGACATTTTTCTAACAGCTAGTTCATTGTTTTTTTATCTTCTTGCATCTATACAGGCCAACTGTTCAGCATGGGCATGTCTTCACAGCCATCAGATTGAGAAACAGTATTAGAAAAATTGAGATTTACCAGGCACTCATAGGTTTTATCAGCTATGCTTATTTGACAAGGGTTGGATAGAATAGATAGTCAATTTCGTTTAAAATCCTTATCCTCCACTGCAGGTCTGACTGCTATTTAGAGCTGCATTTCATATGGCGATAAAGATTTAACATTGATATAAAATATTCAAACCTGGATTAAACATGCAGTAATATAATTATATAAACTTCTTTTGTTTTTCTTTTCAGACTTTTTTACTATTATCACCATATAAATAAATAATGTGAATGTGTTGGCAAGTGCTTACTTGTTTCAAACCCAGTTACTAAGAGTTTTTAATGCTTTGCAAAATGATCTCAGTGCACTTCTGAGCATAGGTTGTAAGTTTCAATACTTCAGTTTTGTAGCTTCTTTCTTATCTATTTGATAATAAGAGATTGGAGCAGCAACAGCTGGCCAGTTCAAGTCAACTTGATAATGCAGATGAGAATGACACAAGGTTTGCCAGTTCAAAACACCTTGGATGCCAGATGCAGAGCTGAGATTTTCTGCATATGAATCATCACGAGAGACCACTGTCATACGTGTCAAGCATACTCGATCAAGCAACATAGTGAGAACATTAGAATAGAATAATTGTCAATCACAAAGTTAAACCACCATTAGAAAAAATCATGGCGTATATAAATGGTCATCAAACCACAAGCTTAATGTTAATTTTCATTTGTTTCTATTTTTAGAGACTGAAATCTGCCACTCCTATGGGCAACATTTCACAAATGTTTCTGACAGTGCAGCCAATCCTCCAGGGATTATGTATTAAAGAGAACTCGTGGAAACAAATGGTTGAATAAAACAAACAAGAAGTCAATTCTCCAAACACTTACTGACAATGATCGCTACATTCTTTCCTAAATCAAATTAACTATATTATTTCATAGAAGTACCTAAGGAATAAATGCAAAAGTAAGGCTTTTGACTATCTGCTTCAGAGATACAGTAGTGCAGCATAATTTGATATTGAAGACTAAATTATTCTACGGTCAGCTGGGTCAGTGATGTGACAGTGTCCTCCACGCCTCGCTGAATGAAAATATTCAGACCTAGTCAGCCAAATATATGTCAGAGCTTATGAATTAGAAGTCAATTCACACAAAAAATAGACTCATGGAGAAAAGTCCTTTGTATCATGAAACATTGATCTTTTCCTGTTACTACAGTTAAGATAAATCCCAAAGAAAATGTAAAAAGTGTCTCACACAGATAGACCATCCAGTGACTAGGTGGCATGCAATGCATTTGCACTGACCTGCGGTCCTATCTCCTGTGAATCTGTTTCGGTAGGCATTTTACCAGATTTCTTCAGATGGCTTTTGACAGCCCTCAGAGGGTAGCTGTAACCTTGTTCAGTTGTTTGTGTCCATGCTAAAACTCAGCCGGAGAAAATGTCTCCTTTTCATCATCTAACGGTCAAGCTGGAAAATGTAACTTTCTTCATTTTTGCCAGTTTTTACTCATTTGTGAGCTAGTTTCACTTTGTCCTGCCACAATGATACTCAATCAAGAGCTTTGATCCAGTATTTAACTAACTTCAAGTATTTTTTATATATATCTTTTTAACAGTTTGACTAATTTCTCCCCCCAAAAAATGTCTGCATCAAATCTCTTCATTACTTTAGCCATCTCTACTAATTAGAAAATGCAATAGAAAGTGGAAACTTTAGCTCTATTAGTGCCATGAAACAGAAAGATCACCCCAGAAATGGAACATTCTCAGAATGTCCCATCTGTTTTAAGCCCTGTTCTGTGTCACAGCACAAAGAGCCACTCGTCATTTCATCGAGGTTTGGGTTTTATGAAGCTTTAGTTAATTAGGGGAGGTCTTGCCAGGATAAATGCGCACTATGGAGGCAGGGAGAGTACAATTAATCCACCATGCATCATTGATGTTCTGTTAAAATTAACATCAACTGAGCCATTCAGCTGCAATTAGCCATTATCACCTTTACCCAGCTGATATGACTGGGTACCACAGAATGGAAATACTCTTGACTATAAATTATAAATTCAGATTACCCTACACTCATGAGATGGTACCTTCAGAAGATTAACAAAAAAAGATTCAGAAAAAAAATGCTCAAATGGGGAGTAGAACTGTTCTCTGAATATAGTATTCTGACCCACATTGGGTAAGAAAGTTCCAGAAATTCATATGATGCTGCCTTATGTTTTTGTCAGTTACAGTAAGTTTTCTTGCTCAGTTTTGTCAACTGATGTATCAAGGGGCACTAAAATTATGCCAAAAGAAGCATCTTCAATCCATCTCTGTTTAAATTGATTTAAAATGAGACAGACATGCTCTGTACTCACAGTTCCCCCCGGCCTCGAGCAACAAGCTATAACACCACAAAATTCCTGTGTTATTATCCATCCTGTTTTTAAATTAATTTAATTTCCTGAATTAAAGTAGTGATTAAAGTTCCAGGAAGCTAAAGTAATGCTATTAAAGCTTCAGAGGAAGAGGAGCCACCATGGTCAAACGTTGATGAAGTATTGCTTCTTGGTATTTTTCCAACACCTGGCCACCAGCAGCACCTCACCACTGCATCTCTAGCACAGTTTCACCTCATTTCCTCCAGGTCTGAATGGTTTGATAATTGGTCCGGAACTGAGCCCATTCTCCTCTTTCCTCTATCCCAGGATTTGATGAATACTTCACCGGTCTTACCCTGGAGAACAATCGGAGGAATGTATGGTTTGCTGAGTTTTGGGAGGAAAACTTTGACTGTAGGCTGCTCAGTGCCTCAAAGAGAGAAGATAGCCGTAAATGCACAGGTATGTGAATTTTGGCTAGAAAATATTGAATGTAAATTAATGTACATCACTAAAAAAAGGTATACAATTCACATGAGAAACTGTTGGGGTTTAATTTGAGCCATCTTGTCTACAGTGGAGCCAGAATCTCTACTCTAACACCAGGTGTTTGTACCCACTGGGTTTGGAACAGATTGTTTATTATCAGAATCATAATGCACTACAAGTCTTAGTCATGCTACAGTGACAAATAATCGGCTGCTGAGGCTAATATCCTTTGACTATTAAATTCCATCTAACCCCCCCCCCCCCCATCACCAAGTCAGCTTCACACATTAGCAGGGCATGAGCTGGGGTATATTTTATTTAAAGTGGAAATTGTAGGGAAAGTGACAGAAAGCTGTATAAATTCTATCTACGACTCGACTCTGCCTTAGCACGATCTTTGTGTTTTATTAATGATGGTGTTGTTTCCATCAGCGATGTATCTTCATGTTGCCTAAACTATGCCTGCCAACAGTGTGACAGGCATTTCACTGCTTGCATTATGTACGTGGATGATGGCTGAGATGTGGGATGCTGTTTTAATCTTGCCTGCATGTGTGATGACGGTAATGGCAGTGTGACACAAATTACTGTTTGCTGAAGGATTTTGTTTCCTTTATAATCTCCAGTATGGTGCCTTTTGTCATGCGTCAGTGAAAGAAGATACTCCCACACTTGGTGAAACCCACAAACCCTATGCAACATGACTTCAAAATGTCGTGCCTTTACTCTTTGAATCCGCTGGAAATGGCCAAATCAAATGTCTCTATACTGTCTCTTTTTATGCCTCGAGACAAGCTGATATTTCTGAATATTTAATATATGAAAAGGAGGCTCTTGCATTCCAAGTCTGTCCACTGACTTCCCTACGCAGAACTCAGGAAATCAAAAAGGTTATATGTGGGCTGAGCTGTATGTTAAGTTCTGAGAAATGGACTGAAATCTTAGAGCAGAACGCTTTTGATACGCACCAGTTTACAGAAGTCTCCCACGTTCTGTCAGTTTGTTCCGTGAACATTATCACTGAGGATAAAGTACACTTTTAATGTATTCTATTTATTGTTGATGCAGTTGTGTTTCTGAGATTGAAAGTCATATATTTCATTATTATTACATCTAATGTCTGCAGCGTTGACTTCTGGTTTTTATCGAGCAAAACAAAATTCACTTTGCAACACAAACAAAGAAAGAGGCTATATATTATGGATTCCAAAGGTGAATCAGCAAAATGAGACAAAACCTTTCGAGCCTCCTACAGTGAAAGGGCAGAGCACTGGCAGGGGGAGGCAACAGAGCAGGAAGCTACTAGAACACTGCTGCTAAAGTTCATGGTGATCTTCATCTCCATTCAGATGAAACGAATTAGGTTCTTTGCTGGGTGCCTATTACTTTGTAACACACCCCAGTAATTCACTTTGACTATGCTGTATTCGTCAAAAACACATTGTGTCACAGCTCAGTTGGACATATCCCACTTGGGAATTACATATGTCTTATTATGTTCTCGCTAGGTGCAATCTTTCAACAACTGAAATAAGTAAACAGTAGAAAACTGTTAACGGGGGAGGGGAGAAGGTAGAGATGACAGTAAGACCTGAAGATGTGTAACATCTAATGGTTCCTGATAGCAGAACTTCACCCTCTTCTCCATCTTCCCCCAGGCCAAGAGCGCATTGGGATCGACTCCAAGTACGAGCAGGAGGGGAAGGTGCAGTTTGTGATAGACGCAGTGTACGCCATGGCCCACGCTCTACACAACATGCACAGGGACCTATGTCCCGATCACCCCTCCGTTTGTCCACAAATGGAGGTTACAGACGGAAAGGCCCTACTGAGGTACATACGGAACACCAGCTTCAACGGTGAGTGACACTTAGTGGAAATATTCAAGCCTGACACTCGCAGTACGCACTGGGGGAAAAAATAGAAAATCAGTTATTACTTCAGCACTTTTAATGACATTTAGCCTGTGTATTCACCATAGCAACTGAACTCAAATTAAAAAATCAGTTACTTCTGGCCACAGCAGTTAAACTCCCATTCTGTTGCCTCATTCATCAGCAAAAAAAAATGTGTTAGTCCACTGTCTTCGAAGCTCTGTAGATGTGGTTTGAACACTAAGGAAAAAGGAAAAATACACGAACGTCCCTGATGTCAGATTTGATCATCGTAAATGGCTCTAGTCACAGACTTACATAAGACATATGTTTGTCTCCTTTTTAACCTGCGACAAGAAAAAAGCCGCAGTTTCATACATTCCAGTGTTTCATAGTCTGACTTTAACTGCCACCAGACCCTGGAGGGATTTACTCACAGCTGCTGTGTGTCTGCATCATGCAGTTTGGACAAAAATCTAAGTAAAGATTAAGAAGATGGAGCCATTCTCATCCCAAAGAGGAAAATAACGGCTTATAAATTCACACCGCCACAGATGTCATCTTATACACACAATTAACTGAAAGCAAGCTACAATTCACATTAAGTCCGCTGCATTCACATTTCAACATTTTTCAGATATTTTGAATAAACACATCAGAAGTCTCTCTGTGTAGTTGAGCTTCTGCATTATTCATCCCAAGAGCTGGAGATACTTAACAATTAATGGCAGATGGCTAATAACTTCTGCTCTGAAATTCAAAGGAGAATGGAGAGAAGAGACAGCAGAGATGAGTTTAAAAACAAGGAAAACCTTTGTTGTGACAAAGGTCCTGTATGTACATTAAAAAGGCATCGTTAAAGGCTGCTTTGCCTTTGTTTGCCTTTATTTGTGTCATGTCTTCACACAATTTTCTGGAGAAGCTTCAGCTAGCTTTGAATAATACACACAGCCATCAGTATAATGTTCTCAGAGTACTGTGCAACTTAAACACCAGCTCATTGCGCGTCTTTTATTCAAATAAAATCCCTCTACAAATGATCAAATGGATGATTTGGTTTGACAAGATGAAATTTGTGCCTACAAACAGTTTTTACTTTTGACATATTGTGTTGGTGAACTCGTTGAGACTGCAGGATTTTTCTTCCCTTTCATTTTCTTGTTTTTGGACTGTTTTGTTGCATATTTAGAGCATGAAATTTCTCACAAAATATAAACTAAGACTAACAAATCTGCACATGCCCCATGTCTATAGAGAAAGATGAGAACATTTTGCCTCCTTCAAAAAATGAATATAAAAGAGTTATGTTCTGTAATCCTTTTTTCAAGGATAATGCTTCTGTTACGCAAAACAGACCTGTTGGCTGCAGAGATAAAGTCCTGCTACTTTATCCGCAACATCCAGCTCACCAGACGACGGGCAGCTGAAATACAAAAAGAAAAACATTTCCCGTTATTTCATCATTGACATAGTTTTCATACTCGTTTCTTACTGACCAGCTGTTTGCCTTTATTTAAGTGCTTTGTCGGCCTTTGAAATCGCACAAACAAAATAAAATGCTAAAAATATGAATTTGTTATTATGTGGTTAAGATAAAGCTTATCAAAAATACAAAAGTATGATTTATCAATGAATTATTCAGTGTTTTCTGTCACGCTAATGCTTCCATGTTCTTTCTGAAACTAGGCGGGGGGCTCGATGTCCCCAGACAAACCCAACTCCCCTGTAAAATAACGCAGTAGCTGGGCATTTTTGCCTTGAGGAAATATTTTCAGTCATGAGTTTAAGATTAATGGACAATGGGTGCATTGATTTAGAAATATATATTCCTGTCACATTTTGTCTTCTGGCCTGTTGCATCAGTAGTATCACAGCTAGAGAGAAAATGGTCACTGAAACTGAAACTGAAAAAAGACACTGGGGGTTTTTCCTTTGGCGAAGATACACTCTTGCCCCTCTCTCACTCGCAAGAGGATTGATTTTATGAACTGGCTTGGTTGATGTCAAGATGGAATCTGATGGTGTAGTCACAAGCCAAGAATTTCTCAAATGCGTCTGCCTTTTTCCTAATGCTTTCCAGTGACGACTTCCCAGATGGTTCTGTGGAGCAGACCATCTGGCACAACAGGTTAAGTATTTACGTTGTCAGGCTGGAAGCAAGGTTCAGCACATCAAAAGCAAAGAATCCACTGCAGTGAAAATGACTTAGACACATTGAGGTCTACGGCACAAAATAAGAGCATGCACTACAGTTCGGGGGTTTATTTTCACGGAAAAAAAGAGACCTCAAGAATAACTAGAATATAATATTTATAATTATCTTTCTGCGTTAAAAGTTTATTCCGTTATCTGTTTCCAGGGTTTCATTAATACAGTGTACGTCGTGCAGTGACCTCATTTTAAAGTTTGGAATGCCTGTCCATATGAGAAATAATAAACAAACAGTGAGCTAAAGGCCAAAGAGCTGCATGCTTTTTTTCCCGTGGTAGCTATGGCAGCAGTGCACAGTTCGAGTGGCCACTGAGTCTTCAGATAGAAAGGTGGAATGTATGCAATTACTTGTGAAGGGCAGATTTTAAAAAGTCTAACTGCAAATTCGTGTGTTGGATGAAGAATCTGCTGAGTCCCAATCACTATCTGGGGCTAAACTGACATCTCTGAATTCACTGGGAGAAAAAAACCCTCAGTGTTTTCATCCTGCCTCTCTGTTACATTTTTAAACCCTTTTACTCCATTGGTGCTCCATCTGGCATCCCTCAGTGCTGCCTTATTGCATTTAGACAGGAACCACACACATTATCTTTTGTATGTGCTGGTGCTAATGTATGTTTGAGAGCAAGGGAGTGTAAACCTCCTTAGTTGATCTCCCCACTGTGCCGGAGTCACAGAGCTGAGAAGTGAGTCAAAAAAAAGGGAAAGAATAATGATGCGAGAGAAAAACAGCAGTGGATCCCTGGTCCACCCACGCTGCTCAGAGCAGCACAGTAGCGCTGCATTTTTGTCATGTCTTAGTTCAGAGTCACATGCAAATACATAAATCTTTCATTTTAGCCTGGGCTCTCACTAAAGAGTCTGCAAAGGCCATTTTGTTCCCTTGAAATTATCCACCAGCAGAAAAAATGGAAAATAATTTCATAAGCTTGTTTTGTGTACTCAGAAACATCAATTAATGATTTGATCCAAACCCTACAGGCACCAGGAGCACAGTCGCCCACATATCATTGTTCATCCAAGATATGTTGAGTGGCTTTGGGTACATTTTGAGATTTTGCTGAGCCATGAAGTAAGTGTGGCAACCCGGACACAGCTTTTCCTCACAGCAGTCAATACCTTGTCAAACATCTTTGTACACGGTGTCAACAGGTTTTCTTCCTGCTCGGCGGAAGCTGAAGTGACAGGACACTGACAGCCAAACACTGCTTTAGCTTGATTTTCAAAATGACCGTTTTCAGGGCACTCCTTTTCTGGAACTCCCCCTCACTAGCTTGATTTTTCTGGATACTAATGAAATAACACTTTACAATTAAGTGGAGGGTTAAAGTGTTGCTTTTTTCCATTTATCCATGGTTGTGTGTGCTTCTATGTAACAGTGGTTTCTGAACATAATGTGATGGTGCGTCAGCACGAAAACTGGCACACACATTCTTACAAACTTGCACAATACATGAAAAAAACAAATTCTGTGGTCTGAAATGAGCTTTTCACCCGCTATTACTCCATCTCATGTTTTACAGGAGACTTTTAGCCTGTAACTTTTGTATTGCTCAGTTGCAAATGTCCTTGGAAAGAAAATGGAGAGAAACGAAATTCCCTTCTGGCTGAAAACTAAAGAGAGTGCAGTGGCCTTCCATCCCAAAACCAAAAGCACTGTTCTAGAAACAAAAAACAGCATGCTCCCTAAGTGTTTTGGACATATGCTTTTGCTCCAATCTCTGCACATTTATAGCCAGAGCTATTAAAAGTGCTTAATTCCCATGCCAAGAGTCATCAGGCTCCCCCTGTCCCATTTCAAAAATGGTATCTCCATTTCTGCATCTGAACCACGAATGTAGTGCCAAGGTGAATAGATTTTTCATACTCTCACGGCATTGTGGAATGGTTAGAATGACCTCATCAAGAATGCATTCCTCATGTCTAAAGTGAAGAACTATTTTTTAATGAATGCTATTTTAAATTCAGTTCTGCGTGCAGGATTTTACGTTCACTGACCTGCATTAACACACTACCTTGTACACACTCGAGCTATATTGTCGAGTAATACACACAATTCCACATATTAACCAGCGTGGACACAATTGACGGTTTCAAGAGCCAGCAAAAATGGTCATTTTAAAAAGCTCTCTTTATCATATATGATGTTTCAGGTGTCCACAGTCCTCACTGAGCTAATTAGAAAAATCTTCAGGGCTCGGCTGGAGAAAGGCTGCAGCACACTGAGAGCAGATGGGGACCATATGATGCTTTGGCTGACCTGCTTATCCTCCTTGCATCTCCCTCAGTTGATCACTGTGTGACTGAAATGCACTACTTTTCAGCTGTGGAGGTGTCCTTTCATTTTGAACAGACATCACTTCCTGATATCAGAGCAAAGCTTAGAACACGCATGACTAGCTTTATTTTTTAATCGGACTATTTTTTCCCCCGTTGCCATCGTACAGCTGCATGATAAAAAAAAAAGAAGGTTCTTTGATGGTCAGCAGGCGGCTCACTACCGCAAAACAACTCCCATTTCTGACCATAAATGTTCAAGAATTTGCCCTTAGCATTTTGGGAACAGAAAACTTTCCAGTCCCCCCTTCAATTTGAATCAAAAGGTTAAAGGTTGCACATCCTTATGCAAGTGGTTTGCTCAGCCCAGGAGCTAACTCTTCCCTTTCCTGCGGCGCTTCTGTTGCTTTTCTCCCTTGGTGTGTACAGGCAGCGCTGGCACCTCTGTCGTATTTAACAAGAACGGCGATGCTCCAGGACGCTATGACCTGTTCCAGTTCCAGATGACCAACTCCTCCACCCCAGAGTACAAGGTTGTGGGACAGTGGGTGGAGACCCTCCAGCTCAGGGTATGATGATTTACTGATGCTCATAACACCCGGAGACAGGCAGTCAGTTTTAAAATGCATGCATTTAAAAAGGACATGGAGGTTAAGAAGAGTTATCACAAAGGCTTTTTGTGTCTTCAAGAGACCTCATGCGCACAATATTTTCATTGATTAACGGGGAAAATGTTTACATATAGATGTTTTTTGTTTCACTATAACTGATTTCTCTTAGGTGCTGAAATAAATCTGAGCATTTTGGCATGATGTGTACGCAAAAGATAACAGTTTCGATACTCATGCTAACTTATCATTTATTTAGAAACATAAACACAAACACAGACTGGTTGATGTGTTACCAGACAGGTGTGGGCCAGAAATTAAGCACAACCAGAGGTTCAGTAATATTTTTAAGGGTTTGTTAAATGAGCCGTCAGCTGCATTTAAGTAAAAGAAAAGACAAAAAACATCATCAAAATTCTTCAGATTTATGTAGGCAACTGTAAATTTTTAAAGAATTGAAGCTGCTTTCATCCCAACATAAAAAAGACGTGTTTCCACTGGTGAAATAATGTTCCAACAATATAAAAAGCGTCTCGAATGGAAAGAAACAAAAAGTAGTCGTGAGGAAAACAGTGAAGTAAGAATTTTTAGTATCGTTACATTACATTTTCCAAAAGAATGGCTTGCACTAAGAGAAAAGAAAAGGATGGATTTATTTTTAACTCAGATGTCAGTCCATATGCCTTGTGTTCAGTTTTTGGAGCGCGAAATATAAATATCACCGAAAACTGACAACTGTATGGTGGCCCAGAAGTGTCAACAAATCCCAAAGCATCACCCCAACAATGTAAAGCTCATCTGAAGTAGTACATTTATTCATTTTGGTTAACACACAATCTGTATTGTTTTACATTGGCTGTGCTCCGTTTGTCAAACTACAGCTGAATATATACCTGAGGTAACACTTGACACGTATTGTTCTATATTTTATCCTTCAGATTTCGATTTAATTTTTTTTTTTATTCAAAGAGGATAATGCTCTTTAAATGATGATTAACTTTGCTGTGAGTTGTTTATTTAGCAGAATTGCTGTTTATTTAGAAGTCTTGCATCTTTTCTCTTTTTTTTGTTGCAACTAGTTTGTATTTTTTGACACATCTGGGCCACCATAGTCCTGAGACACTACACATTTTCTAAGTTCCTGTTGGAGTTCCCTTTATCTTTCTCTGTAAGTTTTTGTCCTGATTACAACTGCAAATGTTTGTGTTATTGTTATTGCAGCTTTGAATAGTGTCACTCACTCAGCCTCTAAAATAAAAAAAATTAAGACAGCATCTGATTCGTGCAAAGTGCAGGTTTATTACTCTATGGCCAAAACAGTAAAATCACAAATAGTTTCACATTGTTACAAGGAAAGTAAAATCTGATAATGAGATTAAGCCTGAGTTTAGATTTGATTGGAAAAAAAAGCAATTATCAAAAACATTTCCATGCAGATGAATTGACACTTGGAAAATGGCTGTTTAGTTTGCAAATATTAAACTCAAGCACACGGATGTGGTGGCACAGGTGAAAGAAGATTTGGGCCTTATTCTCTTTGACAGCTATTACAAATCACAGACTGTTAAAATGCAGCTTTTTTTCAGAGCGAAAAAATTAATTTCTAATTGAAAAGTTTTCCTGTGCTTACAATGCTGCTACACATTTTTGGCCTTGACAAAATAGTTCAAGGTAGTGCTGTTCCGGCTCTCAGAAACTCAAATTACCTGTGACAACTAAAGCAAGATCCAAAAGAAAACTTCAGCAGCAGTGAGAGTCCGAAATGTCAAAATCTTGTTTCTAGTCTCCGTGGCAACAGAGCTTTTGGTCTCATTACTGTTTCAACAATGTGTGTAATCGGGAGGTTTTCCAGAGAGCACCTTTCATTGTCCAAATAACAAATGGCACCTTCATGCCCTCAGATAAATGGCAGATGATAATCTGCCTAGACAGCTCAGAAATAACACATTCGTCATACAGGTATGCACATCACAATCACACTGCAAATGTGTGCGTGCATCCCTGAGGCTCTGCTCAATATCTGCAATTACTGGCCACATGTGGAGGAGGGGATCCTACCAACTCACTGGACTTGTATTGTAGGTGACGGTATTCCCACCAGTCGGTGAAACATTTGGCAGACTTTACATTTACAAGTTTAATTCAAAGAAGAGCAACCAAAAAAAGATGGCAGCTACTTCAGGTGTTTTTTCGTAAATCTCTGTCATTTTCCAACAAAACAACCTCTTGGATTGATGCAGCCACATCAAATTACATAGGTTTAGTTCATGGTTTAGAAGCACTCTGGAGAAATTTTAAATTTCGGCCAAAAGAAAACCTCTGAAAATCTCACTCAAGATTTGTTTTATTGCCAAGTACCTGAAGCAGAAAAGTAAATTCTCCCCAGGCAGTAATGGTTCACTAACCTTTTGCATGCACACTGCATTTACAACTGCCACCACATCATATCAGGTGAAAAGAAGTCTAGGTTTAAAAAAGCCTAATTGATTTTACTTGTGTAAAGTCGCCATTATATGACACATTTCTAAAAACAAACAGTTTTGTCAATAGTTAAATTAAACTGAGCTTGATGACAAGACATGAAGTCATGGAGTCTACTTAAGATCTGAAGGCCCCTTTAAGACAATGTCATGTCAGTGATGTCAGCACCGTTTCGCTAGTTCTGAACAGCGCCCGTCAGGATGTTTCCTTCTGTTCGGTTTGTCTGTTCTGACTGATGCATTCATGTTTACAGCTTTAAAAGAATGAGGCCGTGGGCATGACAGAGTGCACTCTGTGTGATCAGATCTGTGTTTGGATCACTTCAGATGCATGTTAGAAATGTTAGGTGTGAGCTGGATATCGCTTTTTGGAGTTCAGCTGATGTATTTTGAATAACACGTCTTTTACTCTTGGTAGATCTTTAATGTGGTGCTTTTAAAAGCACCACTAAAGCACCACTTCAGTCCTCTTTTATCATACATCAAAAGGCCAGCATTACAATGAAATCCATCTATTTCTTTGTTAACTTGTATGTTCAAAACTATAGATTGAGCTTGAATCATGAAAAATACCACTGTTTTTTGTCTTTGACTCATCGGCAGTTGCTCAGCGTTTCTCTTCATTGCACTTTTCATTTTCATGACTAGATCATAAAAAGGAATGGGTTTGCAAAGTCTAAGGCCCGCATTTTGCTAACCCAAATCCCATTCTCCTTCCCTCTCATCACGTATTTCATACCTCACTGACTCCTGTATTAAAACCTAATGCCTTTTGCATTTCACATTTATTTTTATTTCACTGAACAAAGGTAGGCTCTGTTGCCATGGTGATTCCAATTACTTTCAAGTAGGAGAGAGGCAATCCCTCTAAGTAATTGTCAAGAAAGATGTTGTACCACATTACTTCTTCTCAGATTGTATTGTGCTTTTCAAAATGAGTATATAGAAACATGACCAAGTTAACTGTTGTGTTGGAACAGTGTTTTGGTGCCATTTTGCCCTGAAATGTGGGCCATCCGCTTGTTGCCTGTTACTTACTCTACTATTGCCCCTTTTTTCCTTTGCTGCATGTCACATCTGTCTAAGATGGAGGAGCTTCAGTGGCCAGATGGGGAGCAAGAGGTGCCCATCTCAGTGTGCAGTCTGCCCTGCAAAACAGGGCAGAGGAAGAAGAAAGTGAAGGGCATGCCATGCTGCTGGCACTGTGAGCTGTGTGATGGCTACCAATACCAGTACGACGAGACTTCCTGCAGACTCTGTTCCTACAACATGAGGCCCAATTCCAACAGAACCACCTGCCAGCCCATCCCAATCATCAAACTTGAGTGGCACTCTCCGTGGGCGATAATCCCCGTCTTCTTGGCTATGCTCGGTATCATTGCCACCATCTTCGTGATGGCGACTTTTGTGCGCTACAATGATACGCCGATTGTGCGCGCTTCCGGCAGAGAGCTGAGCTACGTGCTGCTGACAGGCATCTTTCTCTGTTACATCATCACCTTCCTCATGATCGCCAAGCCCGACGTAGCTGTGTGTGCCTTCCGGAGGATCTTCCTGGGCCTGGGCATGTGCATCAGCTACGCCGCTCTGCTCACCAAGACCAACCGAATCTATCGGATCTTCGAGCAGGGCAAGCAAACGGTCACGGCTCCTCGTTTCATCAGCCCCACCTCCCAGATCGCCATCACTTCCAGTTTGATCTGCGTGCAGCTGCTAGGGGTGCTGGTGTGGTTCGCCGTTGACCCGCCAAACACCATTATTGACTATGATGAGCAGAGAACCATAAACCCCATGTTGGCCCGCGGCGTGCTGAAGTGTGACATCACCGACCTCCAGATCATCTGCTCATTGGGCTACAGCATTCTGCTGATGGTGACCTGCACTATCTACGCTATCAAGACGAGGGATGTACCGGAGGACTTCAATGAGGCCAAGCCCATTGGCTTCACGATGTACACCACCTGCATAGTGTGGCTGGCCTTCATCCCGATTTTCTTTGGCACGGCCCAGTCGGCGGAGAAGGTGAGTCATTCTTTTCTTTTGTTGGTTCTCACTCTGTCACCACCCCTGTCTTTGTCTGTGTATCTGCTTCCTTTCACAGGTTCCCCTTTTATTTCTGGCACCTGGTTTTATCTTGTCTAAACACATGAGCATGTGTAAACACGAAATGAAAACACATGCAGTTTGTGGAGCCAGAATTCATACAAAAACACAAAGTTATGAATCTGAGTGGCTTTGACCCGTACGTAAACCCATAGTTCGACCTCAATAGAGACAAAAATGGCATCTAAAGGTTGAGGAGCAGTGTTTTTTTTTTCTGCATCTACGGCTAGAATTGTTGGCTGTACCTTGTTCTTTGCACCTAGAGCTCTACATATGTTTTTACTGATTTTACTGAAGTGGCAGATAAGCAACTAGAGAAAGACAAACAGGATGACGAGGAGCAGGAGGAGAAGAAAAGTGAGACGAATGAGGGGGTAGACAACCCCAAACCTACCCCTGCTACCACCATCTCTTGAAAACTGCACTCTACTCAACAAAGCGTTTGACATTGTGGGCAACTGGAGTTGATTGAGTGAATGACATCCTGACCTTCTGTGTTAGTCTCTGCTTATCAGGGCAGCCCTGAGTAGAATACAGATGCATTCTTTTGCTGGACTCGCGTGCTGCATAGCAGGCCCGTGTGTACATGACAGAGCCAAGGGGAAGTTTTCCACTGGCAGAATATTGATGCCGACAGGGAAGTGTTACTCCTAACCTTTTGAGAGGCACACCGTTCAATAGCTTTCCTGCTAAGCTCCTGCTCGAGATGGATCAGAAACTGATTTTCCTCATCTCAATTTACAGCTGATTTCATAGATGAATTACACCCTCAGCAGCGATTAGGAGTTCATTATGTTACTTGCGGCAACTAGCGAAGCAGTAATGTGTTTATCTTTCTCCTTTATCCAGTTAACTCTTTCTTCACACTGGTTTCAGCCTTACACTCTTCTGTGGTGCGCATCACAGCATCTTGGAGAAGTGGCATTCTGGATAGATTTCTGCTTAATCCCCTGCCACTGAGAGTGAAAAGTGTCTTAGTATGTCTAGATGACATCTTCAGCAGAAACTGTACAGTTAGCGTTATTTCAAATCTTCCCACTCATGATTTAGATTTCCATTCGCAGTTACCAACCTGTCTCTCTTAAGACCGCACTTACAGGCTCATGAGATCTGAAATGTCCATACCTCTTAAAACATTATCAAGATAAGGAATTAGTGCTATTAAAGGATAGATTAGATTGATGCGATGCATTGATGTTTGCGTGTAGATCTGAATGGAGCATTTATTGAATGATGAATGGGATACATTTGACTTTAGAAGTCATTTCTAAGTATGCCTGAAATATGAGGCTGAGTTGGATTTTTGCAGTCATTTGGCTACAGAGTTTACCTTTCAATTATAAATTATTATATTTCAAAGAAATAAAAGAAAATATCCAGTTCCTAATCATGCCTTAAATGAAGGAAAATGCAACCTAAGAGGATCTACAACGCTTGTAATGAAATGCAGTGAAAGTGTTTATGCACAGCTCTCTTAAGGTCCCAAAACAATAGTTAAAAAACATGATTTTAATGAGATTGAGTTTTGATCTCTGAGTGGGTCATTGCATCATCTGCGTGCTTTCTTTTTTCATTAAGGCATACGTTTGAAAACTTGCTGTTATATTTTTTGGAGGATCGCCTTGTTGTTATGTCCCAGTTTCAAACAAGTGCTGTCAGACAACTGTTTCACAACTATGTTACATATTAATCCGGAACGCTTTTACTCAACAATCGCCGGGTATCCGGGTCCTGTCACTGAAAAACAAGCCCAAATCCATCATGAAGCAGAACATTTAACTCGACAACTCAGGTCTGTGGAGTCTGAGATGTGGCTTGGTTTTGCAATTTGTTTGAGCAGTGCAGTCTCACCTTGGGGTGAACTTGCTGGAACATCAACTCCTGGGCAGACTGACAGCTGTATTGAATGTTTTCCACTCGTGAATAATCTTCCTCACTTTTGAATGATGGACTCCAAATTGTTTAGAAATGCCCTGATAACCCTACTTAGATTGATGGACAGCAACAATTGGAGATAGACTTTATTGTGTTAACGTGGACCTGAATGCTCCAGACCGCTGAAACCTCCGCTTTTAAAAAGGCTCTAACTAATGATCCCTTAATCAAGTGCAGTTGATTAGCAGCACTCGGATGGACTAATGACAGTACGATGAAGCATGCTTTGTTTTTCATCTAGGGTTAGATGCACCCAATTTAAGGCATGGTAAGCACTAGCATATCTTTCATTATCAATCTGATATGTGAAACAGGAGAAATGAAACATTGTGTGTTTTTCTTCTTCAAATGATTATCCACAGATGTGAATAAAATGCTCAGTCAGTTATGAGTAATTTCTCTTACGACGTTGTCCAATATCAGGTGATTTATAATACTGGGATGACAGGACGCCAGCTGCCACTGATAATCCAAAAATCCAGCTGCTCCCGATTAACCTTACATTGTCTTGTAGCAGAAGCCGCGATCACACGGGTTGTAATATTTTTTTTAACTCAACATCATTTACCCTGGCCTTATTGCCCACACCTGTGACTAAATCCCTTTCATTCTGTTTGCCCTTTCAGACTCATATGTGGGAAGTCATGTGGAAACAGAAACAAAAGATCCTAAAGCCTTCTTTCTGCCGGTTGTGCATTGGCATGTTTTTTTATTATTGTGAGATTCACATCTAGTCAGCTGTCACTGTTCCAGAAGATTAACCCATTTTGAAAACAAACATAATATATAAAAGTCAAAGGGATATTGATCACAAAACAGAAAAGTCTATATAGCTCAGAAAAAGCACAAATAATGATTTTTTTTCCTCCTGTGCATATAATCTTTATACTGAAAAAACTCAAGATTCAGTCATGCCTAAAAGGTAACTTGTCAGAGAAGTGCATATACCTTAATGCATGTCTTCAAACCTCTTAGGCGCATGTAAGATGTCGTCAGATCGGGATGACAACTATCTTAAGCCATGACTAACTGTTAGAGAAAAACTTTTTCAATTAAGCTTTCAGCTGCAGATATGAAAAGTGCAACTTGTTCTCCTCCTGTCTCTCCAAACAACTGCACTTGAGATGAGTTAGAGTTGACACCTCTTTCAGAGCTGCAGTCTTTTAAAAAAGATTATGTGAAATTCCCCTGCCTATCACTTGTTTTATGCATGAAACCTTAAGAAGACTGCATCAGAAGCAGACTGTAGGCAAAGAGCGAGGGCTAGTCAAGTGTAGGGGCGAGAAAGAAAAGCTGTAGCTTTGGGTTTAACCTCAGCCTATATTTATTTATCAAGGAAAAACAAGAGTTCAACATCAGTTTTACACTTCTCTGAGCTTGGAGGCTCAAACTGTGATGACCCCACAATTTTGTGGCTGTTCTGGATATTGTGGTAGGAACTGAATTGCAGAGGAAGCAACATTTCCTCACAAAGGCTTCATTTGAGAGTATCAGTATTTCGCGCTATGCAGGGAATTAATAATGGCAAGCCATGAGCTTTGCTTGAGAAATAAATGGAAATGCACAGTAAAACATTAACTTACCTCACTCAGCTGGGAGAATTCACGATATCATGCCTTATTTATGCTATCATGTAGTATTACAAAGCATATCATAATCACATGTTTTTCATATTTATTGAGTAGAACTGTACAGGCGGCAGTAATGCAGAAGCTCCTTTTTTAGCTGCCTAGTAAGAGGGGAAGGTTACACCAAATGTATTACAAAAACAAAAAACTGAATGATCATAGTAACACGATACTTAGCTGTGTAGCTATCTTTAAGCCAGAGACACTTCACAGCATTCTCACGTGAGATCCTTGCAATGTGCTTCTGGTGTTTTCCCTGACTGAGTGATTATAAAGGCGTTTGGTTGACACAGTCATCACTGTTGAAATTATACATTTTACATTCACAAAGAAAATAGGAATATGACTCTTCAGAGACAAAAAAGTAACCTAATCTGTATCAGCACGAGGCCATTCAAAAAACCGAGTGTTTTCTCCAAAATAGTATCTTTTAATTAGCGTTTTTCCCCTGAAGCATTCCCAAAACATGTTGCCTGTCGCCGATTGTTTTTCTGCCGAAACGTCATCTCCTGGTGGCTCCATACCAATTAAAAAACCTATTAACTCTCCAAAATACAAGCTACTGTTGAGTAATTTCCCAAATAAAGCTAAGAACAAAGCGTCACTGTGTTTTTTTCCCAATCTGAAAGAAATGAAGATGACAAATGCACATGGTTACTGCACCAGAAAGGCCACTGTTGACACCGTATTATTTCAGTATATTCTGTCAAGAAAACGTCAAAGGTGGCCTCAGTCTGTTCGTGCTATTTTCAGCACTCGCTAACAGACACCGGGCGCTGTGTCACAACCTTGCTAAATACTCATTCAGACACATAGAAATGGAAACCTCCTGTGCAGGGTTGAAACACAAGAAAGGCCATTTACGGAGAAAGCACTTTCTCCATTGTGGAATAAGGCTTTGCAGCACAAAGCCATTCCGAGTTATTCATGACATGAGCTGGTTCCGAAAACTAGGCCACCCAAAACAACAAGAGTATTCCAGGTAGGTGAGAGGAGACTGCAAATCCCCCAGATTCATAATTCAAGTCATTTTCCTATGGGGCAGGGAGCATCCTAATTGTCACTTACTGAATCAAGTCCTTATCACTGTGTGCATTTATAGTACTCAACCATATCCAACTAAATTGGCTTTGCAGTGAATGTATCCCAAGTGGGTATAATCATGAGAATTACCCTCTACGGCTTTTTGTGAAGATGGAAGACTTGCAGTTTGTTGTGTCTGAGTGTTGGCATTCGGCTTGTCAATGAGATGTAAAATTAAGAAGCAACCATTTGATTCCTGATGAGGACTTTAATAAATCATTACTGGTGGCTATAAATAGAGAGTTGCTAAGCAGTGGTGAAAATGACTTCATGTAATTATTTATGTTAAAGCAAAAGTAATTAATTATGAATGCTCAGTGACGGGCTAAACATCCGAGTTGTAGCTGAGAGGGGCTATGAATTTGGGTCAAGCTCACAGAGAGGCACAATGCAAAATCCTGTCGCTGTGATTAGAGACGGTGAAAAAAAAGGATCTGGTTTGGTGTTTTTGTGCTCATGTGCACATATAGCTGCATTAACAAAGGCAAAAGCCCACATACCTACCAGTTATATATGTGGGTCTTTCTGTGACTCTGAGTAACTGCAAGAATATAATCAGCTCCCCTTGCACGGTCCCAAACTTATTTCTGATGGGGTCAGCACTATTACATATTCTAAGATATTAGAAGCTCGTTAAAATCTTATTTTTGGCAGTATTTATTTGCTTTAATCAAACTCTTCATTGCTACGATGGATACCAGACAGATTAAAAACCATCATACACAGAAACATGGAATAAAGTGGAGATTATCTGGCAATGACTTTTGGTACCGTGATAGTCTTTAACTAGATGTTGTAAAATTGAACCATAAATGCTATAAATTGGCAGCCCAGGCATAGCATTCCACCATCTTAGAACGGCCCAGAACAGTGTGAACTGTGATATTTATACAGTTATAAATGCATGGTGTACCAGGCTGATCACTGGCTCCAAAGCTGCTACACAGGGAGGCAGAAGGCAGCAGTAGGAGACCAAAGCAATGTTGATATCAAACATTAGAGTTTTTGTGGGAGATCAGATGACAAAAAACACCCACTGCATGTTAATAAGAACCGTATGATGGAAATTAACCTTAACGATAGTCATGAAAAAAAAATTATGCAAATGGTGACATTTCTTCTCTCTCTGATTCAGTGAGCATTTCACCTTTGCATTGTTGCGGATAATGTGTTTACAGAATCTGTCCTCCCCATGAATCCTCTCCCCGTGCACATGCCAGTGACTTTACAGAGAGCCAGCATATAAGTTACATCTGATGCTCTTAAGTGCAGTAGATTAGTGAGCAGGCTCTTGAAACAATAATACTCCTTTTCAAAGCACTCCTTTCTCCACCAGGACACTTAGCTGAAACAAGCCGCACTTGCAGGTCTGCTCATTCGCTGACTTCTCCCTCTCAGTGGAATCACAAAATTTTAATGAAGTCTGTCTAAAATTTAGACTTCTAACGTGATCTGGGTTATCTAAGCTCGCAGTTACAACTTATTTATGTAAAGTGTTATTTGACCCATAAAATGGAATGTCATGAGCAGCAAACTCCTGAATACTCTGTCAATGGCCACTGGAGAGACTATCAAAGATGTGAATGACCAAAGAAAGGTGTTAACTCTTTCTTATATATAAATTAGCATAAACTATTTAGCCCTGTTATGAAGCTGAAGCAAAAACAAAATCCTTTTTAGATTTTCTTACATATCATCGCTTTTTTTTATGTACACAATTTTAATTGGAATCACCATAAATAACTCCAGTGGCACACATGCGCATGCCTTTGTGGTAAGATGGATGTGCAAGAGCTGGTTAATGAGGATATTTCAGAGTGTGTGTGTTTAAGATTTCCTCTGATTATCCTTCTCAGTACTGGTTTATGTATTGTTTTACACTTCCAAAAATTGTACTAGACAACAGCCAATAAACAATGGAGCATCCTTCCAGATCGTTAACACTCAAGGTGGTATAATGTCCTGGCTATACGCTGATCCAGTGTGTCTAAAACAAAAGTTCTTGGTTTTACCTTCATAGACTTGTTTTACAGTTTTTTCTTTTGTAATCTAATCGTTTTTTTTTGTATCTATGATTTTTGCAGCCTATTCAAATTATATATTAAACAGCTACTTCACACTATTTCCTTCAGCAGATTTAGCTCTATTTCTGGTTCTTAAATATATAAATAAGCGCACAAAAAAGTCCTATTCTCTACTTTTAGCCATGAGTGTCAAAGCTCAGTCTGAGCACTTTTCCTTTGCTGCTGCTTTTGTCACCATATCTACGCAACTGTGGCGTGAAAGACCAGTGAGTAAAACACTGCTAGGACTGACCTTTGTTTCACAGTGTAGTCCATTAAAAAGTAAAAAAATTAAAAGTGAAGAAACTGGAAGAACAGGGTCAATGTGAGGTTGTTTAATAAAATGGTTAGAGGTGCTGTCATTGATTTGCCAATCTACAACTTCAGTGAGTAACAGTAGGTTAAGCTTTTATAAATGGTGCTGGATTATGTTACTGAATGAACAACTTCTCGTTCTTTCACTGTGCACAAGGCAACTTTATTACCTCTTACAAGTGATGTAAATATACCCATTGTATATTTGAATCAGCATTGATTTGGTATTGTGCCACTGCAGTCTGTATTCAACATGTATCTCTACTGGTTTGTATTTTCTTCCAGCTGTACATTCAGACCACTACCCTGACCATCTCTATGAACCTCAGTGCCTCAGTAGCACTGGGCATGCTCTACATGCCCAAGGTGTACGTCATTATCTTCCATCCTGAGCTGAATGTACAGAAGAGGAAACGGAGCTTTAAGGCTGTGGTCACCGCTGCTACAATGTCATCCCGTCTGTCCCAAAAGCCCAACGAGAGGCCCAACGGAGAAGCAAAGACTGAGCTCTGTGAGAACCCTGCTGCCGACCCCATGAGTAAGTTGCCCTGCGTGGACACACAGCCTCAAATTGAAGGTACACTGCATTTCACAAAAAAGTACAACCTAAAGATTTTAAAATATTGGTCTGTATTTAAAGTGCAGCATTTAGTGTGTTTGCATTGGAAAACAAAAACCATCTAATGGATATTGTAGGCCTGAACAACAGACCTTTTTTAGAACGCTGTCATACACCGCATTATTACACATCAGCCTCCACATTGGTCTGCAGTAGAAATGTTAACTAAAGGTAAGTTAAGTTATCCCTGTCACGTGCAAGTAATTGCAGACTTTTACTTTTTTTCCAACGTTGTTAATGCAATACAAATGTGCTTCTGAGAGAACACACACAAAGTGAGATCCAACAATAGTCACTTGACTTTAGAGGATATCTTTGAACATTTTCTACTCATTAGTATGACTGCCACTGCCTGGATCTGGTTTGTCTGGGATGATTTAATGAAGCCTCTTTAGAGTTCAAGAAATGATGAAGACTACAAGAACCCTGGAGTTCATATCTGTGTTATAGATGTACAGTTAATTTAGGCTAAAGAATGTATTTTTAATCTTTGTAGGATCCTCCTATATTTCCTCTTTTGTATTAGATTGCCCCAATTTCATTTGCTGGCAAATGGCCAGAATTACACATTATATGCTGAAGCAGATAGTCAGTTCTTATGTATCCACATTAATGGTGAGACCTTTAGCCTAAGTGCGTGACAGCAAGCAGGAGAGAAGATGGGGGAATTGCTCTAAGGAGAGATTTGAAGAAGCTGGGCTTTGTCGCTGTGAACTGAAGGAGATTATCTCTCTCTGTTGCTGTGTGTTACTCATACCACCCTTCGTCTAAAACAGTAAGTATGATCCTGTTAGCAAAGATAATGCTGGGTATTAGTACACCAGTGAGGCTGCCTACATATTCCCACAGTTGGATGATGCAGCATTTGTTTGGATTGAAAAAAACAGAAATAAAGAAAACTAGAAAGAGTTTCACGGAGGAAAAAAACGGAAAAAGTCATTTTTTATACAGAGACGTTGCCATGGAAGCTCATTGCTCATGTTGTCAGGGTGAAGATAGGGAAGATTGACAGCTCATTGAAATCACACTTCCAGGCTTCCAAGACCTCTCTTTCCCACAACACCTTTAATAGCGCCCAGATATCACAACACCCACAGGTGCACCATCCCCTGAACCCCTCTCTGAATTATGCCTCAGAGGCGACAGATTTTCCTGAGAATTTCTCCAAACACCCAACAGTTGTCACGCTCATCTGTCATGAGTGCAACCAGCGTGCATGTCAGTGCATGTGTGGTTTCCGGTGTGTGACTGAGTGTATGAGGGGAGCGCATGTAAGACAGGGAGAAGAGAGCAAGCGCATCAGGGGATTGGGAATGTATCCTTGCCTTTGACACATGTGGCTCATTGAGTGAATACGCACTTTGAATTGAGGCTAAAAATCATAACATCTGAGCACATCAAAAATCCCCAGGCGGAGTACAAGACCTCTGGAGGACCCTCGCAAAAGCGTACCGTGTCATCTGTTCTGTGTGTCTCTCACCTTCTGTCTCTCCTACATGAATATCTTCTCGCCTCGTCTCTCCACCCCTGCATACTCTCCTCCTCCTCTTGCCCTTCTTTTTAGAAACAGGGGAAGTGACATTTATTAATGGCGAATTTATGTGCATGACCGCCCTGAAACCTGAACTGTGCCTCGACCATCCCTGGAGACTGTCCGTCAATTCCTGTAACCATCAGAGTGCCAACCACCTCCCTTTCAGGTCCCATCAGCCCTGCACGAGATGACTCCGAGTGATTTATAGGATTTAGAGCTTTAGCAATTTTGCAGATTTACATTGGTATTGATATGGTGTAATATCTTCATGATTACGCCTCTCAGACAGGAGCAATTGCCCTGTAATTCCTCTGAATTGATTCAATGTCCTGCACCATTTTCCCCAGTAGGCATTTGTTTGCCTTAATGCATTTCAGATTGGGCTCATTTCATTAACAATGTAGAGTGTGGTAAGAAAAATCAAACTAACAGAAGGCACAATCAGACGTAAGGAAAGACAATCAGCCTTCCCTCACAAAATTTAAGATGATTGTGAGGTGAAATAATCTGTCTCAGACCAGTCATCACACAAAAGCACGTCTCTCCTATCTCTGTGAGGACTGTTAATTGTTACCAGCAAGGATGGGATGTACATTTAGTAATGTTTTATTCATCATACTTACTGGCCAAGACTGCAAAGTGCAGCAGTAAAATATGATGTTGCTTTAATTGCATGGTCCATGGGATCTGGTCACCATAGAAACATTAAAACAGCAGAATTAAAATTGAGGGAAAAATCTATGATTAAAACAATGTACTGTACATCAATGACCTCCACAACACCAGCATTTTATTACACAGGCAGATACATATATTTTTGTGCTTACTGTTGGTCTGTAATCCACACTCACATGTCCTTACCCCAGTCTTAATATCCAAAGTATCAACTCGGCAAAATATCAGCCGGGTTCATAAACTTACCATGACTCTATTTAATTCCTACCATAAATCATCTTTCGCGAGAAGTCATGAGAAACTTGGTGCACGCACACCCATACAGATACACAAAAATTTGATTTCACACGGAGGGTTTGAAACTCAAATTGGTTCTCATAATGATGAGCACTGCAGCAGGACACAAACACAAACGACAGCTAGGCACTCAGCCACATTCTGATACGTTTCCATGGCAATCCAGACTGGGATCACATTGCATGCCCCAGCATTTGTTCGGTGCCCACTTGTGTGGTGTTTGTGATTTTTATCACCAGTTAACATCTGAAAATAGAAACTGAAGCTTTTCACAGGGGCATTGCGAATTGAAATGATACACAGGGCTAAAAATATTGTTCCTGTTTGCACACAGCTGGTGAGAAGAATTCAATCCATCAGAAAGACGTTACGCGTGGGGATTATGTCCGTCTACCTTGGCAGGACAATTTTTTTCTGCTTTTGATTTGTTTCGGCATCCCCTCAAAGTGAACCCTTATATATTTTTTTCACTTTGTTTTCAGGTCAAGCCACCAAGAAAACATATGTGAGTTACAACAACCTCAGAATCTGATCTGTGTGGAAATGTTTGTCCCTTATCTGTTGTTGGAAAAGTTGTAGAAGATCAGCGAAACACAGACAGAGAGTGCAGGCATCCGAGCACCACCTGCGGAACCTATGCACTTCAGTACTTTGGATAACTTCCAACCCTCATCCAGACATGATGCATGAGTCCTGACAGAGATGAACAGAGCTTTAGTCTGGTGTGGCTGGGGCAACCCCCAAAACATAACTGCAGGTGCAAACCCGTGCTGTGGCACCCGGGATCCGTCTCAGAGAGGGATCAACTCGCCTGCCTAAAGGGGCCACTGTGAATGAGGACAAAAAGTAAAGATGGACAGTGGATCTGCTTGAAGATATTTTCTTTCAAAATGTCATTAAAGCCATATTCTCTTGGGGTTTCCATTATCGGATTTCTGTTTCTGTTTTGCATTGTTTCTGAGTGATTTTCTTCTGTGCCTCGATTTTTTCGAAGTTGATTTAAGTATCTTTAACAGCAAGCTCTGCCACATACGGTATTTCGTTTGGACAAAGTCGTCTCAGATCAGTCCCAAATGATGATTATGTTAGCGTGATGGGCATTGTAAGTATATTTTTTGTAAATATTTGAGAGTATTTTCATGTTTGGAGTACACAAAATAGATATCCAGTCTTTGTTCAAATTGGATTTGGATGGTAATGAAAAGCACCACAAAGTGTTCACTTTGCATGTGCCAATGTATGTCTGTTCTATTTGATGTAAGCCTTGAAAAAAAAGATGAATAAATTCAGAAAATGATAATGATCTTCAGTATCTCTCTGTAGTTCGTTTTCTTTACAAGAATTGAACTCCACTCAGTGGTAGAATATGGCTTTAAACTGTATGTGCAAGCATGTTTGTTTCATATAGTTTTGTATTGAGTCTGTTTTGGGTCATTAAGGCATGGGAGCAATCATGCAAGTATGTTGTGATGTTTGTCTTATTATGAACATGTAATAAAATTAATTTTGTTATCTTTTATACAATGAAACCGCTCAGTATATCACAGTCATTCCTGTCTGAATGGACATGTTTGTGTGTCATAGGAGGACATTATGCAGTATGTTTGAACATGTGGGTTTATTCTCCTGTACATTAAGTACGAGTTTTATTTATAGGTTTCTGGGAACTAATAGAAATGTAGTGTGCTGGTTTACTGTCTCACCCCATGGCAGAGCACATTAGTGAGTTCACTGAGCAGTGATGGAACCTGGCAAGAGGAGTGTTCACAAGCTGAATCCTTTTTCACCTTTTGCTATTTTTATTTCATCCTTCGGTTGTATTTTTCACTGTTACTCCTTCCAAATTCTACTGCGAGTCACATGAATTATATACCATGTCGGGTCCATTTGTCCTCCTAATGATGAAGGCATTGTGCATTAACCGCTTTTCGAGCCTACAAGTATAATGTCACGTTTCTTAAAATATTGATCATTATATAAAAGTATGAACACGACAGGCATGAGAGACTTCCGGTTCTGTACGAGGAGGCATCTCCCGCTCAGCTGCTACATGGGCAAATGATATTTGACCAAGAGATGACGATTACTCTTTCGTGTTCGTGTGAAAAAGAGAAACAGAGGGGGAGGGAAAGAATGATATCCATACCCACACAGGTTTTCTGTTGTTTCTCTTTCCATTTGTCTGGCATCTCTCTCAGCTCCTCTGGGAGCAGATGGTCTTTACTTCTCATACACACAGTCTGTCATTTTCTGTTGCAAACAGCCAAGAGAAATCCCACTTATACCCAATTAAGACTAGCCTCTCCCCTGGCAAATTAATTGGCTGTGTCAGTGTCTGTGTGCAAGTAATCAGTAGGGCCTGAGCAGAGTTTAGATTTGCAGCTCAGCAAAAAAGAAAAGAAATATTTAGCAGCTCGTGCAGTAGAACCTTGATGTAGAACACTATAACATAGAGTTCACTGAGAGGCTGAAAATATTTGAAAAGCAAGGTGGTGGCAGGAATGTTTTTCACCCACCTAAAATAGTATGAAGCATGGGCTACTACTGCTGTGTTCTCTCAAGGCTCCTTTGGAAGGGCCCACCTGCTCAGTATGCACCTGTTCTGTAGGCAGCACTTTCCTGGGAGAACATCAAAGAAAGGAAACTAATCACTGAGGCAAACTCCACCTAGAGAATTCACTTTCTCCTAATCTAAAGGGCTGTGAGTTGTTCTGATTACACAGTATTTATGTGTGATTATATACATTCCCTTGCAGTCTCTAATTACAATTGGTGGAACGGTGGATGCTGAACAACAGATTTGACACGATCTTTTAAAATGTGTGTGGACTCTCAGAGAACTATGGCTCTGTGGAAGCTGTCTGGTTACCCAGTTGTCAAAACTGTCCTCGCTGTCGAAGGAATTACCATGCTGCCTGACCCAATTTGGATGACAAGGTGACATCATTTTCCTGAAAACGTGCATTTCAGTTAGTGTGTCATGTGACATGTGAAATTCCCCGGACCAAAAAGCTTAGCCTTTCTTCTATCTCAGTTTTCATGTCAGTTTGGTCCAGCCACGCATTTGAGGAAAGCCTTCGTTATCTTGTCAGAGCTCCTGATGCGCTCTTTCACAGACAATTTACTGATGCTGAGTCTAGATTAGCTCTGTTTCATGGCTCCTGGGCCTTGGGCTCTCCTATCTCTCCATAAATGTCCAATTATCCAACTGCAACCAGAGAGAAACCTTATCTGCTTCCCGTCAGTGACCAAGGGAAGCCTGATATAACATAGGATGGATAAAGACACTCCTCAGTCCTCTTGTATGATTTTTTTTTTCCTGCTTTATCAAGTACGGAAAAGCTCCCAATGACACCGTTTGGTTCCGCGCACTATTCTCCTTCTCTGTATCTCTTCGAATCCCAGGAAAACACTCTAGTCAGTGCCACCAGCGTATATTGACTACGAAATTTGACATTTTTGTCTTTAAGAGTAAGTTTGTAGCTGGTTAGCTATAAGTCCCACGTCCACAACTCACAGACGCTAATTATCATCCAAAGAAAGTGCATGAGTAATGGGATTCCGTAGCTGATATGTGCTGTTTGTTTTTTTAATACTGATGTCAGAAAGAGATACAGTGCCTCATACTCTGGTGAATATATTAGTCTGGGGTCACTCGGTGCCATATCTTATCTGTTAGTTCACAGAGCTACATTCACCCTGTTTGGACAGAGTGCGCGTGTGTGTTTGTGTGTGTGTTCGTGTGTGTGTGTGCGATGGCGTTATTGCATTTTTAATCAGCGGAAGAGACCAGGCATCATTCCCATCACATTAGTGTCTCCTGGTATTTATTTCTATCTCTCACCACGTGTGCCCTGTGGGGAGGGATCGGGTGGGTGGAGAGAATACATTTGAAATTTGCTCATTTGACAGTCGTTAGAGATATGGATTCTGACACTTCACAATTAGCTCAGTCACCTCCTTTATCTTCACTCATCTGAGAGATCACGAGCTAAGGGATTTTTAGCTCTCTCTCTGCCTTCCCCTCTAATCTCTTCAGTATCCAAACTTCTAATTCCAGTTAATGATTATCTGCAAATTACAAATTTGACTTCATGGATTTAATTGACTGCTGTGTTATTAAGATGGCTGTGTGAGACGAATGCTGTTGAGAAAGCTGAGGAGGTGGTCTGCACTGCCACGTCCCCTGTCACAGAAATACACCTAGAAAAAAATAAATGTGAAGTTCTCTATGTCCACCAAATAAGCCATAGTTATACTGCTCAGCTTAGCTGCAGAAAAGATGCACCTCACTTTCAGAGGTGCAATTATGGTGAAATTCTGTCTTACCCCTGAGTCAAAACTCCGTTTGAAGGGCACACATTTGGGGCAAATAGCATCCAAACCGAGCGCTCTCACCTGTGGCTTCAGCAGGAGTTGACTGTGAGCTGGCTGCGTACTCTAACTGAGAGCGAAGCCCTTCATTTGAGGCAGCAAAGCATTAATAATGCAGTTTGACATCCCACGTCCCACCTACTGATATTTCAAAGAAGAGTAAATTCCTAACGAGATACAAAATACTGAGATGAAAACAAATAGCTGGCTGAGATTGATACAAATCCACATCAAAGAAAATTAAATGAATCTCCAAAGGTGCAGCGATAAAGCTAAGCCACATGTGTATTTTCCCCAACATTTCTGCTTGGGAGTAGATTAGAAACAACTGTTTGGCATTGTGTGTGTATTCAGTCTTTTTTCTTCATACCAATCCGAATTCAGGCACATTATTCCTTCACATACATCCATCTTCAAGGGCTTAAATGCTGTGAGTTTTGCTCTGGGCATTATGCAGGAAGTGCACGGTGAAATGATGATAAATCAATTTCAAGTGTGAATTATAGTCTTACCTCACAAACTACATCGCAGAGGATTGTGTTTCTCATTTCTCACATGGCAGTGGAGTGTGGAGCACTCTCCATTTGATTAAACCCTACCCAAAGGCTGCATCAATTATGTATCTTCACAATGGAGTTAATGGACTGCAATAGCAGCTGAAGATGACTTGACTAAATTTCCACATGACATGGCGAGAAAAATATCACTTCAATAATGTAACGCTCCTGAACAGCTTGTCTGGAATGATAAAAAACCAAGTCTGCCTCCAGCCTATTGAATAGAATAACTGTGGCTTTTGTTAATTTTTTTCTGTTAGTCATTAAACAGTTACACCGACATATCTGTCTCTGAGTTTAAAATGTAACAACCACAGACACAATATGTTCTTTGCTTTGCATGGCACGAGTCCCTGCTTCATTATGTACCTGTGTGCGGTTTGTGTGTGGCACTGATTGCACATGTGAGTTTGCAGCTCAGGTTGCAATCCATGTACCTTATTATCAAGCATCTGTAATTCTTGTCTCTGGGGTCTCAGTCCCATGGGTCGACCTTCGCAGAGAACAGAAGGGGCCAGCCAGGCCTCAACTACACAGTCACTGACCCATCTGGTCATCAGGCCGGCAGGGAACGCGGAAGAGGGCAAGACAAAGCTCTGCATAAACATCCGGCTCCGACACGAGCCCCGCAGATCACACATTCTCTGTAAAAGCCAGAATGCTGCACAGCAGCATCATATCGCGCGACCCTTGTGTTTTATTTTGAGACGCTGTCTTGACTGGGTGTAATGACAGAGGGCAGGAGTCTCCCGCTAAATGCACACCATTGTGAGGAATGTGAGTGGCGGTGATCCTGCTGTGGCATTGTGTATAATTTAGAGCATAAACAACATGTTGATTCAGCCGTGAGCTTTAAGAGCGAGTGGGAGGTTGGTTCATTTTGACATTACAGGGCAGGGGGTGGTAACCCGACCCGCATACTGTTATGTCATCTCCACTTTTGAATAAACAGTTGCTAATCACCTTTCACATGAAAAGTGTCTGTTGCTGTTGCCTTCAGAACCAGCAGCAGGCCACAGCTCAAAATGTTTCACACATCATTAAAGTTTGTGTGAGGCAAAAATCTGTTGTATTTCCTCTGCTAGTTGGTTGAGAAACCACACTCACTTCTAGGCTTTGTCATGCCTCTAAAAACCCATAGTTTCCACTTGAACAGGCTGCTTCCTCGACTTAAGTCGGGGATTTTCCAAACCAGCTCTGGAGTGGATTCAATTTATAAGATAAGATGCTAAAATGCAATTACTCTACACTTTCTGAATCTGTGACTGCGTGGGAGTCCCACAGTTGTTCTAACTTGTCTAACTCTCCAATTATGAGTGTGACCCAAGAGAGTCAACATATTCAGTCATCAGGAAAAACTGAATGGGAATTGACTGCCAAAGAAATGGCTTCACATAAATCAGTGACACCTTCATTGAACATATGTTGTATTTTGTTACCTTTTCTGGATGGTAATGAATTGAAACAAACACAAACATTTTTAATAGGATCTGGTTATCCACAATTGCAGAATCTGATAGACCATAATTTGCAATTTCATTATATTGTTTTTTTTTTTTACTTCAGCTAAAGGCTACTTATCATTTGTTTACAAAAGACATTATCTCGAGCAAAGCGTATTTATCAGTATGTGTGATGCTACTGCCATCTATTGATGATCTGTGACTATCTGTCTATTCTGTTTTCTTTTTGCCTTCGAGCCCTTAGATCCATGCAATCTCAATTTCATGTCTTAGAATGTAAGATAAGCAAGCTCTGCCAGATAAATAAAATTTAGTTTTTATGAACACACTTCGTTTAAGTTATTTGTGACAGTGTTTAAAAACACAAGATCCGACCCACCTCATTCTTTCACAAGATGGTGCTGCAGACAATAATACAAGATGGAGCCCGAGGTAAAACGAGGATTTGTTTCTGCAGATTTCAAAAAGGTTTGCGGTGCGTTAAATTTGTAGATACATCTGGAAAATGTTTTAACGGAAAACATTTCACAATGTCAACAGATTATTGTGTCAACAACATGCCTCAAGCTATAACTTAAACACAGATAAATAATCCAGATGTCTGTTTTACACACAGAAGTATGGCACGGTAATAATGTATTGGATTCTTAAAGCAATTTTGGTGTTAAATGGGGATCGGGTTTGCAAAAGGCTTCACTCAGAGATGAAAATTCAAAAACTCATCAGTGAGTTAAACTTTCTGTATTTGCATCGTCTCCATCACAGGAAGTAGGGCTTGGAGCTTTTCCCAGCTGTCACTGGAAGAGAAGCAGGTGCACCTTGGACAGGTCACTAATCCATCACAGGGCCAACACAGAAACAAACCAAACAAACCGCCGTGCCAGCATTTCCACCTGCAGGCAATTTAGAAACCGCAGTTAAACTAACACGAATGTCATTAGACTGTTGGACACTGAGGACACCAGTAGACAAACAAAGACAGAGAGATTAAAACCAAGACCTTTGTTGGTGAGATATCACACTGCAAATCAATGTAACGCTCTAAATCAAGAGGTTGATGGGGGTAAAGGTGAGTTCTAATTCAAGCTGAGACTGTAAATTTGGATCTGGAGACAGAACATTTAGGTAGTGTGATTTTTACTCTTGACGTTTTATCCCAAAAACCGTTGCCGATCTATTGTGATTAGTATTTATGAATATACAGTAGACTACTGACTATAGTAGGATAAGGAAACCTGCATTCAGAAAGGCTGGCATTATGGGGTGCGTTTGGAAAACATGTCGACTGTAGGGATAGAGCTTTGCAAGTGCAGCATGAGTCATTCTATATGTTGATTAACTGGAAATGTCTGACTTAGTGGAAAAGCAGGTAACTGTTACCATTAGAAAATAATTAAAAATACTGTAATATGCCATCTTACCATTTTCACAGGACCAAAGGATGGAAAACTATTAGTAATTTCTTGGCTCTTTTACATTATTTCTTTCAGATTTGTTTTTGACATCTTAGATTTTTTTCCCTTTGGCAGCAGGTGTCCCTTTATATCTATTTTGATGTACAATTTCAATTCCATAGAGAATAATAAAAGTTAAAGATGGAAAAGTTAAAGATTTTGTGCAGATGTCACCATGACAACAGACCTCAAAGCTGTTCCCAGCAAGGTAAATCTTCATTAATTCTAAATTAATGAATAGATATACATATACATATATACATACTGTATATATATATAAAAATGTAGCAGTGTTAC